CATAGCTGTTTGTTATTGTTCCTTCCTGCCTTGCTTCCTTTCTTCCTACCTTTTCCTCTCTGTGAAGCTGTCTCCCGTTGGTAACTGGAGCTCCTAACATCCATTCCAAACAGGAAAAATCATTCAAAAACTCATGTAGATTAAGTGTTCAGGATCTTCCTAGTGCATTTTTTGGCCTTCCTCTTTTTTTCTTTGTCAGTTTACCCCATTCCCCCTCTGCATTGTCCCCTTCTCTCTCCCTCACATGCATTGGCCAAACAACAGGCCCCTTGTGATAGCAAACTGAGGAAGTTACCAATAAAGGGAGATATGTATTTGACCGGAGAAAGCGAAGGAGGAACGGGTGTGTGTATTAAAGCCAAAGAAAGAGTCATCTGGAGATGTTTAAGTTGGACAGGCCAGTTTCCGGTGTCTGGAACAGGCCAAAAATATCCAGAAACAGACAAATCCAGCAGGGAGGGGAAAGGATACACCTCCTCTTTTCTCATGTGACCTTCTACATTCAGCAAAATAAGCTGAATTTTGGGCCTGCAGCATAAGCTTTGGTAGCAACAAAACTGTTCATGCCAAGCACATTACATTTAATTGCATCTTCCTTTTGCTTAATGTCTGGGAATGGAGAATTCCAGATGAATCCTGCAAATGTAGGACTATAAATCGGCTGTTGTATTTCAAATATTGTGCAACTGCATTTGGTTTAGATGAACTGTATTTTCTGACAGACTGATCTGAAAAGAAAAGATTATCTTTAGACAAAAATTGGTCAAGTATCCTTGATGATGACTGCTTAGCATGATTGTACTATATATGTATGCATACTGTTCATGTGCTACATGTGGCCTCACTGTATTCATCATGTGGGGATTACTCATGTTGTAAAACAATAATAGAAACAGACAAGCTTACGCTTGCTGAGTTTTACAAATACTTTACTGACAGTGGGTATAGGCTTTGCTCTGCTTTCAAAGCCCACACTGGTATCTATGTATGGTACCAAAAACTGGACTGATTTTGTTATGTTTACAACCTGGTGGTCTCAACGGCTGCTGCTGCTGCAGCTGCATAAGGTGAACACAAGTGCCCAATTTAGGTCATACAAAAAAAAACAGTCAGTCCAACGGCTGCAGTGGACTGAAGGCCAGAGTCACCCAAGCCAGTACACCTGAGAAGTCAGGAAGTGACAGGCTAGAAAGATAGAGACTGAACCAGGGATGTAAAGTTCATATTGAATCTCCTACTTTTTAGCAGAGCCATTTTAGGCTTATGGATATCTATCAAACACAAACCTATTATGTTGTAAAGTAATAAAACATAGGAGGACAGGGTCTTTCGAGGCAGCTCAATCTCCCTCACAACGCCTAATTTCTGTAAATACAACTGATTCTACACAGCAGGCACAGTGTGTCAAACTGCTCATTGTTAGGTATCAGTGCATCACTTGTTTTAAAGGCAGGGTATTAATGTGCTCTGCAGACACAGATGTCTGTTTGGGTTTGTAGGCACACACACACACACACACACACACACACACACACACACACACACACACACACACACACACACACACACACACACACACACACACAGCAGGGAGAGAGAGGTCTGCAGTTTCTCATGGCTGTGAGCTGCTGCTGCAGAACATTTCCCCTCATCTCCTCCTCTCCCCGCCCCCACATCTTGCCTCCATTATTCCCGTGTTTTCGAAGCAACTCTGATGACAGCGAGTAACATAGCTGGAAGTGAAGGCAGGCTGGAATACGCTCGACCGTTAACCGTTTCTTCCGCTCGTCCCCCTCGGTTGCTGACCGTTGGTACGGTCTCGCGCTATCCGCACGTTCACTCACCGTTTGTGCACGGTGCCGGTGAGAGAAGAGAGGGGGGTTGGTCGACCAGGACTAGACCCGTGAGAAGCTCACTGACTTCGGAAGGAGGGAGGAGAGCAAGCCGTGGAAGAGGCTGCACGGTCGCCAAATTGTCTCTACATTAGAAAGCGAGGACCTGAGATGTAGCGTCTCTGGTGAATAGAAGGGAGCTAAAGAGAGCTGCGTCGCTTAACGTTAACTAATGGTCAGTAACATGGATGCTGATGTGCCTCTTCCTCTAGGCCAGCCGGGAAAACGGGTGTTTTTTGACGATTTTCTGGCAGTGACACGACTCGTTTCTTTCTGGGATTAATCATTTGTTTTTTTGAATATTTTTTCTCTGCTCTTGCAGCCGGTTTTTGTGTGGGAGCATTGCAGGGAGCGTTTGTTTGCAAGGTAACTAACTAATGATAACGTTAGTGCTGTGGCCAGCAGTGGCCCAGGCATCACTGTCAGCTAACTGTTTGTGTGTGTGTCTGCTATTTGGGTGTCAGCTCCAGCAACATAATTAAGCATTTTGAACATGGCTGCTTTATTCATTGTTCATTGTCACGTTTTGTCTTTTGATATCACCGTTTCCTGCCAATGAGTCAGGAATGAGGTTGTTTCTTGGCCAATACAAACCTGAATAGTAATGGGTAAGAAATGTTGGTGGGTTACATGCAGAATGAATCACACACCAGGGCAATACCACATGTGTTTGCCTATGTTTCTCCCAGGTTATTTTCTCTCGGATGTAATGTCCACAGCATGCATTGGTTAGAGCAAAGATGCTGTATCAGTGGTTTATATAAAATAGCCTGTACAGATATCTGTCTTCACTGTCTCATGGTGCAGCAATATTCCACATGTTCCTTTTTTGTATTGAGTGTAATTGGTAGAAGCTATTCATAGAAACTTTATTGCATTTGGTTTCATGGTGGAAATAAACTCAGTAGCATGTGTCCAATCCCACAAAGTGAATTTCAGGACTAAAACCAATAAGCGTCTGTCTCTGCCAGATTGAGCTCCCTAATTTTAGCCTGAAGGCAGTGATTTGTTACCTTGACGTTAAGGTTCGTACAATTCCCAGGTGTCTCAAGCAGAGTGAGAGTGTGTATGTGTATGTGTATGTGTATGTGTATGTGTGTGTGCTTGTGCGTATGTGTGTGTTCTCTGTCTGCATTGCAGTTAAAGGTATTCTGCAGACAAAATACAAAAGTACAGTAGGATGTTTGGTCAGTACTCTAGCCCTGTCTTCTTCTCCAAACTAAACAATAAATAAATACATGAGTTTAGCCAGCAAAAAAAGAAAACTCAAATTAAATATTTGCATAATAACTGTGCACCAACATTGTAGGCATCTCAGGATTGTTATACTTTTTATATTTGTCTGGAAATAATCATGTTTACACATATGATCTTCCACTCAGTTGCCATGACAGTACCACTTAAATCAGTGTATACAGTATAAACATGAAAAGTTTTGGAAAGATAATGTAACTCCATGAAAGGACATGAAAACAAAATAAATATTGAAGTGTGTGTGTTAATGTGTGCACAGGTGCACCCAATCTTAAACCCTCAAACCACAGGAGATCAATGGTGAGAGGGAGGGCAAACCAAACCCTTCAAAGTAGAACTAGAAACTGCACTCACACACACGTACACACCAACACACACACCCCAGTAATCATTCAGCAGAGTTCACACAGAGATGAGTGTTAAGACACAACTCTGTCACTCCTCTCCCTCTATTTCTCTGGTATTTTCAGCTCTCTGCTAAAGCTGCCACCTGGATGCAAGCTGGCATAAGCGGTGAGAAAGTAAGAGTATGTTATTCTCATGTTGTGGACACACCCTTACCAAATTGCAAGTGCCTCAGGTGGCCAATTTGATCCGTTTGGTGAAGAGTTACAAACCGGTTACGCTTGTGCTTGTGTTTCTGGCATCTATGTTTGGAAGGGCTTTCTCATTCCATTTTTGACAATGATTATGTTTCTCCACCTTTCTTTCTTCCCCTTCGCCAATTGTTACCTCTCTACACACCTCCCCCTGGTGTCCCTCCCCATTTTCCAGATGTGAGGGGGGTGTGGGAGGAGCCAGGGGGTATTTGTGTTCCTCGGGGTCCCCGCTTCCTGTGAAAATTGTAGAGAAACTCCACATGTGCTGAAAACACCAGAAAACACAAACAGACAAATGCTGAATACTCTGCTTTGAATTTTTCAACCTAGTCCTGTGATTGTTTACATTTTACCCTGCAAGCACATTTTAAGACAGCTTTGAATAATTGGCTTGGGTTTTTCAGTTGTAACAGGTTTTATCTTACTTGTGTGTATGTGGCGCATATTTACAACAGTTGACTATTAAACCATTGCACCTGCTTCAGTGTTTACACTTGAACTTGGCAGACAGATTATCACTTTATTAGCGGCTCTACTCTGTAAACTTTGTATCAACAGCGCAGAGAAGAAAAGTTAAGATTTTTAGCATGCAGCTTCACTTATTGTGGTCAATGAGGTCCACTGATGGATAATGGATTTCCTGCTCAAGAAGGAATGCTATAAATGTCAGTGAGGTAGAGAACAGCGCAGGACGTTGTCTCTATTGGCCCATTGTGTGGGTTCAGCTAACCTTATTAAGAATTCACTGAGATAACTAGCAATGCACCAATACAACTTTTTAGTCCCAGTTCCAATACCTGGGCTATAAGTATCTGTTGTATACCAATCTTACAGTCTGTATCGTATATTGCTTTATGTCTCACTGTGTTGAAGAGACTGGGATCATACTCTTTTGTGTAAGCTAACATCAGACTTGATTTTAACATTGCTTTCATAACTTTGTAAAAACCAGCAGAGTTACTGCCACCCCTCCACACATTGACTTTCCAGATTTAGAAAGTATATTGACGTAGCAAGCAAGAAATACCTAAAAACTGTTGTCACATTTGTTGTTATACAATCTACTGGCGTGCTGCTGACAAATGACTTAGTATGCGTATTTGTAATCAGATACTTGCTCCAACTAATTGAATCAGTATTGGCTTATTTTGATCCATTTAACACCCGACTTTTAAACTATATTAATATAACATGTAATATCTTTAAACAATTTTTTGACTGGAATCCCTTGTTTCTTTTTGTCTGTTTTTCTCAGATGACGGAGGGGAGGCGATGTCAGGTCCATCTCCTGGACGACAGGAAGCTGGAGCTGCTTGTACAGGTGAGTCTCTCCTCCTCGCGCCCTCTCGCTCTTCCCTCTCTTTCTTCCCTCTCTCTTTGCAGCCTCTCCTTTCCTTAGAGCGAATATGCAATGTGTGGTGTCCTCAGGGACTTGGTTACTGCTGACCCAGGGAAATTTGGTCAGCAGTAGGTGACTTTGCTTTTTCTTAATGCTCACCTGATCCTTCAACACACACACACACACTGCACACACACACACACGTGCATGCAGCAGACCATGCCCTGATTTACCATCCCTGTAGAAGCAATGAGTTCAGTCCTAATAATGTCCTAAAAATAAACTCTTCCTCCTAAACTCATGCTTCAATGCTCAATCTTCATCGTCCATCCCCACTGCCTTCCCAGAATGCATCAGAAATGCCCAGAATGATTTAACAGAAAACATCAACTGTTTGTGCAATTGACAATGCTCCATGCAATCCTCCAATTGTCCAGGAAAAACAAAGCTGCATGCTGCCCCCCTCCCCCCTACTTTCAGTCTTCAATTTTACCCAGCAGGCCTTTCTGCAGTAATGACCAAAGGCAGCAGCAGCACCCAATGCACGCCCATCTATCCCTTGTTTGCCATTTAAAGCCCACACCCTTTGTAGAGAGCTACTTAATACTGTAGATCTGCTCTGGTCTGCTTTATGTTTTACACCCAGGGTTAAACCCTCTTGTGAAAGCTTTTTCCATCACACAATAACACATACTTCATTTGGTGGGGAGTTTTTGTTCTTTATCAAATGTATGGCCCAAAGTAACCTCTCCCTTCACTTCCTCCTTTTCTCCATTGATTGTTGATGACATACACTTTCATCATGTATAAGATCCCTCTCATGGTTTGGCTTCAAAGTAAATAGCCTCTTCATGAGAGGCTTCTTCCACTCTTCCTAACATCTCTTAGCCCCCTTTGGTCTGACCCGATTCCACTGCAAATGAGACAACAGAAAGTAATTGCCCTGGAACAGTAGAAGAACAGGAAGCAGAGAATATAGAAAGATTGACGCAGAAACTCAAGAGGTTTAGAGGGAGAAAGAAAAGTGAGATGAGAGCTCAGGAATACAGAGACAGGAGATGACACTAAAGGGATGGGAATGGAGAGGAGAAAATGGAGGGTAGAGCTTTGGATAGGTCTGCTGACTTTCTGATTCGATTACTCTGTCAGAACTGATCCTCTCTTTCAAATTGGTACTTGTCTTTGCACCTCTTCCACTCTCTTCTCTCTCCCCATCTCTCTTGACTTTCTACGTCTCAGTATCCATTTATTTTCTCAGCTCATTTTAGCCTTCACCTGCCCCAGCTCTGCCTTCTTCTAAATCGAAAATATAAAACACAGCTACAGCAGTTCTGTATCTCATCCATCTATTATCCCTTCTGCTCGCCATTCCTCCTCTTGGCCATTGAGAAAGGAAATTACTGGGAATTTAACAAAAAGAGAGTTGAATATAAACATTTAAAGGTGGGGTAGGTAAGTTTGAGAAACCGGCTCGAGATCGCTAGAATTTGAAAATACACAACCGGAGAAAATCTGCTACTTCCTTATAGAGCCCCTCCTCCAACACACACGAACGCGCACATGACCAATGAGGGCACGAGATAAGTTTGTGCACAGATGGAAGGCTGACAGGCAGGTAGGCCATCCAGTTATTTTAGCCGGGCCGGCTAAAATGATTGGTCGTACTTTTTACAGTATTACGGCTTCCACAGATGACATTTTTTTATGGATTTTTTGTCAAAGCACTTAAGATATTCATTGCTATCGGGATGTTAAGAGCATTCCATGGAATATAACAAAAAGTGTATCTCGAGTCGATTTCTCAAACTTACCTACCCCACCTTTAATTAATCTTTATTTTATGTAAAGAGTTTTACAGATACTTGAAGTTGTGTGAGAGAGAAAATCTGTTCTATTTACCACATAATATACTTAATATAACACATGGTATTTTTACTGTTTGGCAATGGTATTATCAAGAGAGAAGTCAGGAAGAGGGGATGTTATTAACAAACCATTGTCATAAAAATCTGGATGCTGCTGTCTTTTTTTCTATCCTCAGTTTTCTGCATTGGGTACAGTAGGCCATTAAGTTGTTTTTGGACCACAGAGAATGTTATTCTTAGTTTTCAAGTAACCAAGAAAGCAGTCAGGACCTTCCTTAATTTGCAAAAAAAAGATTTCTAGAAGAGGTGATGATAATTCATGCAGAATTACACACTCCATTGTGCTCTACTGATCATTTATAACCAGTGTGGTCAAGTCTGTCCTGTTGCGGTTTTCATATAACTTCCTGTCCGAGCACGGCAGCCATCTAGCCTTTGAAAGGTTGGATCTCACTTCTGTCACTGACTTGTAACGTTGACCAGCTGTTTAATCCCAGAAGAGTAATTTAACATTTCCCTCTTCCTCATCCCCTTCCTCCTTCCTTTGATAGACTTGTTTATGGAGCAATGCCTCATTGGCTGAGAACTATGTGTTAGAAGGCCAACACGCATTTTACCAGGCCGTAAAGATTGAAGCTAACCCCCAGATACTCTTCCACACCAATGTTTATTTGAAGAAAACAAAAAGGTTTAAATGTAACATGGTAAGATGCTACACTGAAAGTCTGTACACAGAAATAGTTGAAAATATTTAAACTTTTAGGGCATCTTGTGACTAAAAATCTTTTCCCTTCCCACCCTTGGACTTTTGGATTGGCATTTGGAAATTAGTTAGCAGCCCATAAATAAATCCGGGCAATCCTGAAGGCGCCTGGCTAGCTGTTTGCTGAGATAGGGCCGTAACTTGCTGCCAGCCAGGCGAGTGAGCTACTGTTGTGTAGTCACTTGTCTGGGGGTTTGCTTTAGCATGTCTCCTCCTATCTTGCACTTCCCTGTAATTCTCATACTGTTAATTATCTGTGCTGCTGAGGAGGCACAGGCTAAATGTCTATTAGCAGTAATGCTGTCTAAGCTAGCAGAGAGCTTTACTGCTTGATAGATGGCTGCATAGAGTGTGTGTGTATGTGTGTGTTTATATTCAGTATCATCTGTATGGTTCTGGAATGTGCCTCAGTTATTGTGTGAGGGTGTTTAATGTGCCCTATCACTTACCTTATTACCTGTCATTCACTCTCTGTATCACTGTTGGTATCTTCCACAACGTAATTACACATCCGCTAGGTATCTGGCATTTCACAGATAAGTTGTAGTGTAAGGAAGGGGGGAGTCGTTACTTGAAGGGGGAGAAGCAAACTCAATTATACTATCAGTGATTTTTTAAAGAGATTTTCACAGTCTGCTTGGTATTCATAACAATGCCGAGGCAAGAAGTAAGCTTTAACCTTGCAGGGGTCCTTCTGTTCTTTTTTATCTCCAGTCTTGCACTTCTTGTATCTGGGGCTCATTTCATCTCCATATTTCTAACGGTTTACTCTATGTGTCCATGTGTCTCTGTCCATCTCTCTTTGTTTTTTATGCTGTGGTGGCACGGATGTCATTTAATTGATATTGTTGCCAGAGCAGTTGACTGCTGTGTAATGAGAGACCAGGACTGTGTATGTGTCTCTAGCTGAACCAAAACATTTATTACCGCTAATACTATAAAGATAGCTTGCTTCCAGACCTAAAATGTCCACATCTAAATTGTTTTTGAGCACTTCAAAGAGATCGAGTGTCGCTTTTTTGACTTGCTGCCCTCCTATTTGGAGAAACAACAGAGCCAATCAAAGCCTTTGTGGATGAGAATACCAGTTATTGTCAGATTCAGACAGATCAGTACCTGTATAGTTAAGTACAGCTCTTAAAACCCTTCTCTGGATGTATTGAACTACATGCAACCATTGTATAAATACACATTTAGCATGTAAAGAGGCGCCTTTTATTATTCTTGCAGTGAATTTAGATTAGAAAGTTTTCTTCAAATAACATCCTCTATATTCAATATTAAAGTGTTATGGGTTTCTTCTTAATAATTCCAGTGATGAAAGGTTTTGGAGTCAGGTGAGACACAACAAGCTAGTACAGTAGCCATTTTGTTTCCTATTTAACACTGTTTATCTTGTACAGATGTGAAACATGCACCTATATGGCAGATGCAGCCTATATGTTAGCTTCTATTCTCTCCGGAATCTTTTCTGTGTTGCAGGATCACTGTAGGCGTCGTGCTTATGTGAGATCTAGGTCATTGGAGTTGTGTCTCTGTGTGTGCATACATGTATGTGTGTATGTATGCTTGCTGTGTGTATGACATCACCTCCTCTTTAAATAGCTCTCAGTAGCTTCTGTCACTGAAGTTGTGCAGTGAACAGATAGTAAAGGACCTCAGGGGGAGATTGTTAAGAATGTGCGCATCACACATGTACCTCCTGTGTGTTGCGAGTGGGCTGCATGAATGTTGTGCATGGGCTCTTTAGTGCATATGTCCATGCAGAATGTGTGTGTGCCTGTAATGAAACTGTAGGCAGCAAGGCACACCCATGGTTAACCTCAGGGTGGGGTGTGCAGTTACTCAGGATGTCACAAACCAGCAGCATATGGCAGCAGTCCCCAGCCTCTGCCTGGCTTTAAGATGCTCTGCAAGCTTTGAGCGTCGTGATGATTGGAGGTTGTCATTATATAAAGCTTGGACAGTATTCCAGAGTATAAACTAGTTGGAAAGCTTGTATGCTAGCTGCAGCCCTCTCCCTACAATACAATGGTGGAGCCTGGAGGCATGACTCTGCAGTGGAGGTTTGGGTCAGATGGGCGGAAAGCAGGGAGGGGAAGGGCACGGTACCTGCACTGTCAGCAACATCCACACACTCCATCCATCTTTCTCGCACTCTCTCTTTCTAATTTATCTCCTCCTCTCTTGCTCTTTTCCTCTTTTCCCCCTTGTTTGTCAGAATGCTTAGTCATTGCAGTTAATCAATAGCTGATAGAAACATTAACATATTAAAGCTCTACACATGTACTTGTTCCAATTTCACTACAGTGTGATAAAGTACCCTCACACAGAGACAGGACTTTATAACTCAAATTAAAACTATAATGAGAGCAATACTAATATGTCTGTCCCCCTGCAGCCCAAGCTGATGGCAAAGGACTTGCTGGACCTTGTGGCCTCGCACTTCAACCTCAAGGAGAAGGAGTACTTTGGTATTGCATACACAGACGAAACGTAAGTCACATTTTAATAGTAATGCCTTTGAAAGTGAACTCTCTGTATGGTGTTTCAGTAGCCCAGGAATACATGTAGGTCTAAAGTGTGTTTTGTTTGTTGGATTGTGTTTGTTCTTCCCTGTTACACTGTAACATTGGTTGCCATAGATGACAAAGGTGAAAAAACTGACATTAGTTTTAAGCATCAATTATGTAGTAGCATGGTTTTATTTATATTTTATGTGTGTGTGAATATGTTTTAACAAAAGCACCACTATAAATACTCAATTTCACAGTACAGTGTTTAAGTTTGAAATATGGGTTTAGAAATCTTAAATGTGTTAAATGTGGCCCTTTGTTTGGCCTTTTTTTTCCTGCTGAATTTGATCATGTTTACTTCGTGTATTTAGCATATGTTTGTACACGTTTATTTAGTATAAGAAAAAAATGTCCTGAGAAAAAACCTAGATATCCAGTTTATGGTTTTCACCTATCTTTTATTTGCCAGTAAAAGGAGATGGCTACCTTCATTCATCTTGATCATGAATATCATGCTGAAACATACACTGATGTATGATCAAATACCTAGTTATAAAGGGCTTTGATGCTATGATAAGGTTACCAGTGTCCTGCTCTGGGCTAGCTAAAGATCACAAGTCTGTGTCTGTCAGAAGGATTGGTACGAGAACTATGCTTGAAATGCAAAAATGACATTCAAATTAGCTTTATTGTGTTTGGTGACCTAGAAAGAGAGACACACCACAGCAGGTTCCAGAACTAGTCCTGCAATATACAAATTATTTACATACAGGCAAACCTGGCCTTTTGTTTTCTCTCTTTGATGCCAAGAAAAAACAGCCTCTGCTCCATGGCATTTACATGGCTGTGACACAGTCTGTCCAGCAAAGCTATATCATCTTTGTAGTTTTAGCCCCCCAGGACTAATTCTATGATGTGTAGATTTGTTCCTAGGGCCTGGGGAGAGCAGACGCCTCAGAGCTGACCGCTCAGTGGTCAAAGAGGCCGTTTGGGAGGGAAACGCATGATAGATTGAGAGACAGAAGGAGGGAGAGCTTGAGAGAGAGATGTTGCTCAGTTGCTCAGGAAACCATGCAGGGTTACCAGGGTGACAAGCTGTCTCTGCAGTTTTTCTCTCAGTTGGAGGGGGACAGAAAAAAGAGAGGAGAGGGGGAGAGAAAAGGGGGGGCAACAGAAGGGAAGACATGGAAATAGGAAAAGAAACATGGGGAGATTCAAGTAAAGAAAATGTTTAGCATAATTATATAAGTTCTGTATATTCTTTTTGGATAATTATACCTCCCTGAATAAAAGGCATTGATTGGCTGTTTTGTCTCATCAGGGGCCATTTTAGTTGGCTGCAGTTGGACCGCAGGGTATTAGAACATGAGTTCCCGAAGAAGTCTGGTCCCATTGTCCTCTACTTCTGTGTCAGGTGAGTCTCTCTTTATTAAATTACTCAGCTAACTAACCCATGCCTCAGTCACTGATTGCATTGTTTGAATGTGTGTGAAAGAGAGAAAGAAAGAGAGAGAGAGTGCGTCGCTAAAACTGTTAGTGTATGCTTATGCCTTCATGTGGTAATAGGAACAGATTAACAAGGTTAGTTATGACAGGCCTCTATGAAATTGCTTTGACCCCGGAGTTAAACTCCCGCCACGGGGCCTCTCAGCCAATCATGAGCCTCTTAGACCTTATCATTATGCGCTGCATGCAAATCCCGTCAAGTAGCTTTGCGGTGACTACAAAGTGCCCTATTCCAAACAGGATGGCAGGATCACATGTACAGAGAGAAGCCATGGCATTTCCGTACTATACTTTTTTTATACAGATCACTTAAAAAACGTTGGTCCCTTGTTTGTTAAAGGTTTATGTGTCAATTTAAATGCTTAAACATGAAAGAAAATAGTCTGGTTCTTGACTCAACCAATACAAAACATACAATCTTACAGTGTGCTCTTCTTGCTGTATTGGAGTCTACTTCTCATTTAAAGCAGACTCTTCTATGACCTGTCATGATAGGGTCATGAAATAATCCAACAAACCCACACTACTCTCTTAGCCCTTTGCACTGCTTATACAAAAGCCCTTCTCATATTTAAAAACTCACCACACTCACACAAGTGTGCATGTGTGTGTTTGTGTGTGTTTTCTTTGTTTGTGTGCATGTGGGTGTTTTATCTTCAATAGGCTCTTGAAAATGCAAGAAAAAGGCACCTGACCTGCGAGGATATTTTCTAATCTTTCTTGGCCTCAAATGAAAACGCAAAGCCATCCTCTGCCCAAACACACAGGAGCTCTCAGTCAGAGCCTGCAGAGGGAAAGCCAAGCCTTTGTTTTGGGTCCACTTATGTGCTCTGTCCCCAACAAATATCCATGATGTCATATACACCCCAGGGACTGAGCTTGGTTGGTTAGCAACGTACATAGTAACATGACGTACAATATCTCTGCTAAACAATGTCACTGAGTAGTCATTTCCAGGGCGACATTTACGGCACAGCTCACCATGACACAATGAGGTGACTGTATAGCAAAATTGTATTCTTAGACACATTGTTCACCCTGTTTAGTTAACAATGTTGTCATTGTACAATTTGATATACTAAAAACATGTGCAGATGAGTATAATTTGCTGCATTTAGTGCTGCCTATTTCAGTAAAGTGGCATTGATATACACAGTTACCATCTCTCTTTATCAAGAGCTATAAAACATTTTTTTTAAATGTGTGTGTCCGTGATGGTCAGAGTGTGGGTCACTGTGTGTGTATTTACATAGACTAATAGGTGTTTAGGGATGTTGTGGTGGTGGTGCTGTGACATTGTGAACTTTGACACCATTTTGAGGCTGCAGTGCATCCCCCTTTTTATTCTCGCCGTTTAGTCCAATCTCTCACCTCAATCTTTCCAAATGTCACAATAACTACACCCCCTCCCACACACACACACACACACACACACACACACACACACACACACACACACCCAACCCTGAGAAACACATACACATGCATAGGCAGACTCAGGACTATAATGGAGCAACCGTTCGCCCAAATGTCATGCCTGAATCCATTATCAATGTGAGCATATTGTTTTCATTAGCACAAGGAAAGGTTGTCTCTGGGTGCAGGTGTGTCACTGCCAGGTGCATGCACAACATCTATTTGCATGCTTATGTGGTATCTGTGCAATGTGTGTGTTCCCATAAAGGCTAGGCAGCAGCCCACCTCCAGCTGATTCAGTGGGAGCCTTTTTGCATGCTTGCTGCTCTGTGTATAACTCATCAACACCGTGGCTTTAATTAAATGTTCCCACTGAATATTGACATGGCTCCTCTCATTTTCTCCTGCAGCTCAATGGGTAACGCAATTTAAACCCTCCAATATTGATCCTCCTACAATCCCTCTGACTCAATACCTTTACACTCATACACACACAAATCGACACATACACTCACGTGTTTTCATAGGAACATGTGCTTAGGCCACATTATACACACTTTTGGGATACATCAAGTCATACACTGAAGATGTTTAAGATGTTAGCTTCCATCAAAGAACAGCTAACAATCAGTAGCTTCCTAGCGTTCCATCATTGCTCCCCTCTGGCTCTGCATGCATTCATGAGCTAAATTTAGACGGCATTATTATGTTAACTCCCTCCTCATCACGCTGCTAGAAGTGGTTTACTGTGCTTCTCTCCAGTGCGTGTTTGTGTGTTTGTGTGTGTATGTTGGTGTGTGTTTGTGTGTGTGTATATCTGTGTGTGTCTGTAGTGGATTTGCATGTGGAATCACTACACACTGCTGATGATGCAGAGAAGTGGACAATGTGTGAAGTGCATCATGTGCACATTCAATCTGTGTGTGTGTGTGTGTGTGTGTGTGTGTGTGTGTGTGTGTGTGTGTGTGTGTGTGTGTGTGTGTGTGTGTGTGTGTGTGTGTGTGTGTGTGTGTGTGTGTGTGTGTGTGTGTGTGTGTGTGTGTGTGTGTGTGTGTGTGTGTGTGTGTGTGTCAGTGAATGTGTGTGCATTCAGATTGAGGAATGTGTTCACACTAACAAACTAATAATGGATTGTTGCCAACACACTTGGTGAGAGAGGGGATCTGTTTAAGAGGTGTAGAGGGTCAGCCTTTGGTATGGTGGGCCCTCTTCTGGTCCCTCTGGTCTTTACTGATTGTCTTTGTAGAACTGAAGGAAAACCTATGATTTGCAAATCTAATCAAATGTATCCCTCTATGTTTTCAGGTTCTACATAGAGAGCATATCCTACCTGAAGGATAATGCTACTATTGAGCTGTTTTTTCTTAATGCCAAGTCCATCATCTACAAGGTAAACTCAATAATCTGTTGCCATAATGCATATCCATAATACTGTTGACTGGGATGTATTTATCATAAAATGCTTTACAAATAAAGGTGGTGAGTTTTCTTCTGGACTTGCTAAAAGAAAGAGGTGGGGGTTTTCAGTGGGTATACTTGAAGTTAAAAATAATGTGGAGTAATGGACTTTATACGATTTGAAGCATGCCACTTCATTGGCCAATTTGTGGTTCTAAATGAAGAGGCCAGCTTGGGCTTTGGTGCTCCACACGGATTTGGTGAAGCAGAAAATGTGAAACATTTGCATCAGCTGTTGCCTATCATTATATGTGCTGCTCCACATTCCAGCAACTAGCGCATAATTTGACACATTTTCTGCCATCTGTCAGTGTTGAAGCACATTTATTTCGGCTGTTAAAATAAAAACTACATAAGCTCCCCTAATAGAAATGCAAATATATATTTTGAACATTTTGGTGACTCACTTAAAGCATTCCTCTAAAAGAAGGCAATTTCTATGTTTTCTTGTAGTGCAGTTAACTGGTTCGCTTTCCCCTAACATATTCTACCTACTTGCTCCCCTGTAAAAAGACAACAATGTACTATAGATTCAGCGACATCAGTGTTCAGCAGTTATTTTTGCCTGTCCAGAAGAGGGCGTATGTGCTCTTAAAATAAATGGGGCAAAAACAACCCAAACAAAGCTCTGTAGAAAACTCTGATAATATCATTAGACCCATTATTTTCAGTGCTGACAGTGATGGAAATTCCAACAATAAATGCAAAGCCATTTAATGCATATTTTTGTTGAATTAATGTTCAGACTAGTGTGTCATACGCAATTTGTTGTATAAAAGTGGTATACAAACCTTACATAGCTAATAGTGTCAAATAGTAAACAAACCTAAGTTTACATAGGAGGTTTGGGTTGTCTAGTTTATTTCTATGTGCACAGCATCAGTCTTACTGCAGTTGTGATGAGGAAGACACTCAGGGGGAATACACAATCAATGTATTGCGGCCACTGATAGCATCAAGAATCGTCCATCACTTGCAGCCGCTATCTGCCCCATCTCAAGATTGATTAGCAATAGATATTGCTCAAACACACTTGGAAAGTTGTGCTTCTGTGTACAGTTTGCAGCAGATGTAGGCACATGACCTAATTTAAATATGTGCAAATAGCACAGGAGCACTTCAACTCTATTTGGCTGCACAGATAGGGATGCACTTCCCCCTTTGTGGGTGCTTTGAGAATGATATGGTTTCTTTCTGTCTTATTTGTGCAGGTTAAGTGGATGCAAAAGTGCGCAATCCTCTTGTGAATTTGCCCTTGACACTTGAATGGTAGTGATTATGTAACTGAGTATTCAGGGATAGACTGACTCACAAACAGAAGGTTTCTGATTCAGTCACGTTTTTAGCTACTTCAAGAAGATATCTGATCCCGCTATGCTCATGTATGTCACCCTGATAACAACTTCAGCTAAAATACAATGATCTCTTTCAATGCAAGAGAGCAAGAAAATAAAATAAATATAATGCAGTATTTTAAGAATTATTTTTTCATGTACAGGGTTGTTAAGAAACTGTATCTCGGGATATGTTCTGCTTCAGCATTTGTATAAGTAGTGAGAAACCTTCTGTGCTGTGCTGTGGGAACACATACAGTACGATAACACATACTCTATGACGGTTTGTTGCCACGTGGGTGGTACACCCAGGGTGGGTTTGTTCAGTCTCGTGTTTCATCCTGGCTGTCTGATCTCCCAACAAATTAAGAGGTCGATTGTAAAGGGAGCATTCCAGGCATACTTGACCCACTACTCACTGCTGAATACCCTTCTCCCCCTCAAAGCAGACCAAGCATTCAATGTATATGAACATGCCAATGGTCTGTGATTACAAACAGCAAGAAAGATATTTGATTGTCATGAAGTCTACCTTTTCCCATATCCACATGTCATTAAAAAACAATATTACATTTGAAAGAACACCTATGGAAAATGTAATGAATAATCAGTAACCAGAGCATCCATGCCTACTACCCTCAATCCCCAAACCCCCTCTGTTTGCCTCTAATCTCTGAGCTCCATCCGCATGAAGAGGTCATGAAATTAGAGAAGGGAGAGTGGAAAACTGGAGGGGTAGTGGTAGGGCGATGAAAGTTACAAGCAACCCTTCTTGGATAAATGGAGGATGATTAGAGGCACGACCACTTTTGCTCCCAACATGTTAAGTCAGTAAAAGTAATACAATAATTTCCTTCTCTCTTTTTCTTGCAGGAACTTATTGAAGTGGACAGTGATGTTGTCTTCGAATTGGCTGCCTTTATTCTACAAGTAAGATAAAGCTTGTTTTTTGTGTGGATCTCTGTTTGGATATATGTGTTTAGCTCATGCAGCCAAATGCACTGGTTGTTCCAGGGGCTTTTGCTCTGCATTGAAACAGTTTTGAAATGTTCTTCCAAAATGTCTCCACCAGCCTTTGATCCTAATTGACCATGATTGAATTCACATTTTCTATTGCAGTCATAATTGACGATGATTAAACCTAAATGATCTAATGCAGTAATCAATCTGTCAGTAAACTGCCATGATGCTTGGAGATTTTAAAACCTAAAAACCTCAACTGCCTTAGTTGGTAGAAAAAATCTTGGCTACCGGCTAAATATTCACTGCTGTCAGTCGGTGCTAATATAACACAGAGCAGCAGAGGAACTCTTTTACTTCACAAATTCTTCTCAACGCCACCCCATACTCTCTCCTATCCCTTTCTCTGAGTAGGTCAGTCCATTAACTATGATGCTGCAAGGTCATGTTACACATAGACTTGGCTGAGTGGTTTGTCGATGTGTGTGCGTGTGTGTGTGTGCCCTCGTTGCAGGTGCAGATGCACAGTATCAGATATCTGCTCTGTAGTCCTTCAGAGGCTTCATTCCAGATGGAGGTTTAATATTTCTCTCTGAGCAGAGCAGACCTGGCTGCAAATTCACCAATGCACACCGAACATAAACACAGATTTTATGGTCACTGCTTGGTGCTCACATATCCATATATGTAAATCCTTTCTCCTCTCACTACTTTTTTCTTTCCCTTTCTGTTCCACAGGAAGCTAAAGGGGACTTCACAAGGTAAGCACATGAGTAACTTGTAATCATTTGTAATGTAAGTGAAAGTTGTAGCTAGGAGTGATCTTTTCAAATGTTTATACCACATATTCCGTCTCAATTTTCATCCCCAGTGACAGGGTGGTAGGGTTTATACATGTTTATTCAGAAGCGAGAGGCTCAGACAGAGGGACAATGGAAGTGATATCAGTCGTCTGTCTGCTCCTCTGCTCCCCTGAGCATTGAGGTGCATCACTGAGAACTCTCTTTGTTTCTGAGCTTGGTTTGCACCCCTCCCTGCTTCTTTCCTGCTACCCTTGTTCCACTTTGATTCACTCTCTTCAGCCTGTGCTGCCACTCAGTTCTGATCCGTGTGTCAACATGTGTGTAAGGAAAGACAAAAGCTATTGACATTCCTCCAATTTAAGACTCAACATTACTGCATACAATTATTTCTTATACCAACAAATATTTTACCAAAATATTCTGAATAAATATTTAAACTCAAATTAATTAAACTCAAGATTAACTTCCGAGTCAAGTAATGTTTCATGTCAGCTACTCTCCACATGTGGCTCTACACATCTGTATGATGTTAGCCTAAATGTATGTCATCCCTCATCCCCTCATCCCTTTGTTGTAGCACAGATAACAGCATCCCCTCTGACCTCATTTCCGCCTGTGAAAGGAGTAAATAAACACGATATCCTGCAGAGGGCTGGAATGTGACACACTCTGGAGACATTCCTTTCCCCCTTCTCCCCCTTTCCTTTAACGTCTTCCTCCCACTCACACATACCTCCCTTCTCTAAAAGCATTATAGACTTCATACACTGTACCCCTCCTCCATATTAGGTTTCACTACATCGGTCACTGCTGCTACTCTTCAAAACACCTATTCTTACATCTCTTACATTACTTAGATCTTGCGGCAAGCGATGGAAAGTTACATTTCAGTATTAATTATAAACTATTTATAGACAATTCATATGTTAAATAATTATTGATTTGAGTGACTTGTGAAGATGAACATGTCACAATGGCACAGAGCACACAATGTATTTGTTCAAATGGAGCCCTTTCCTGCCCTTTCATTGAGTACAATGCCAAAGTGTTGTACACCACCACGTATACCTACTGAGTAGTTACTGAAATGGTTATCATCCAATCCAGACACACAGCTGTGTTCACACATTAGGAACAGACGGGCAGGGTGGATGGGATCTCTTCCAGGGCGTTAGCTCATAGGTTGTCATGTTCCCAGGGCTTCCCCCACTCCTCTGAGGCCTGGGCGGCGGCTGGAGGGAGGCTGGGGGATTAGAGCGGGGTATTAAGACCTCCTGCCACTGAAGGTCTGAAAACTGAATCTGAAGCCAAGTCTCTCTGCCTGGGTCCCTGTCTCGTGTACTCTGTCTAAAGGTTATCTATTGTCCAAGGTACTCCTCAATATACCCGTATTTTGGGTGTAATTTATCTGCCTAAAAAGAGACAAAGTGAAGAATTAACAACATTTTAGATTAATTTTACTGATAAAATGATTCTGTTTTGGGGTAATACCTTGTACAATAACCTTGTAGTGAAACTATCATAACATCAACATTCTGTCCCTTCTTTTCTCTCATTTCAAACTGTCGGTGTCCTTGCAGCTGTTCTTAGAAAAAGGCTCTCTAAAATAGAGAATTGGCCTACAAACTCTCTAAAATAGAGAGCATTTAGGCCAATTGCATTCATGCCTCTCTCTTGACTAAACTTAGTTCCTTCAGCACCAATTTTCCAATCTTATTTTTAAGACAGTTCTGGGAAATATTCCGTTTTGCATTTAGTTGTTGAGCTAAATACCTACAGCAGAGAATGATTGTTCTTGCAGAAGTAGTGTTGATCATGTCTTGTGGTTTCTCCCTCACAGTATTGAAGCAACCAAGTCTGACCTGAAAAAGCTGCCTGCTCTGCCCACCCAGGCCCTGAAGGATCACCCGTCTCTGGCCTACTGGTGAGAGACGGGTCATTTACCGAGAAAAGCCATCACAACATTGCACTGGTCCTCCTTGTCCTAACCTGATTCCTTCTTCTATTTATGAACTGTCCTACAGTGAAGACAGGGTTGTGGAGCATTACAAAAAGATCAGTGGGCAGTCCAGAGGGCAAGCTATTGTTAAGTAAGTATTTGAATATGTCTCTGGTTATGTTTGTTCACCTTATAGAAGTCTGTGTTCTCTGTAACCCTGACATGTCTGTATTTCTGCTCCTCACAGTTATATGAGCATTGTAGAGTCTCTGCCCACATATGGAGTACATTACTACGGTGTAAAGGTACCGTTTTACTACTTTTCTTTTCCTTTTTTTACACACACATGCCACACACATTTGTCTTGCTTCTGGGAGTTTGAGATAAGGTGTTATGATTGAGATTAAAGCTATTTGTACTCTGTCTTTCTTTATCTGTCTCCCTTTTTCAGTTCCTTTCTCTCTCTATCAATCACATACACTTGCACAACCTTTCATAACGTTTTTTGGTGTTTTGTGTTTTAGGACAAGCAGGGGATCCCATGGTGGTTGGGTCTGAGCTATAAAGGCATCTTTCAGTATGACCACCAGGACAAAATCAAACCCAGGAAGGTGAGATGACGCTCCCTCTGATCTCTCTGCACCACAAACAATGATCTTTAAAAAATGTATTTGTATATTTTCCAAAATTGCAAAAGGTTGTGATTAAGCAAAATTATTCTGTGTCTGTATAATAACTTCCAAGATATATTCCCAGTTTTGGCACCTACTTCTTTACTGTCGTTTTTAATTAGGAGTGGGTAGTTAACGTGTTACTCTAGAAGGAAATGTTTTCATGGCCACCGCTGTCTGTTTCTTCCATTAAGTGAGTCAGGATATTGTGTTTGGGAAGAGTACTAACAATGCTGTACAAATACTACTGTCTGGAGACATTCAGTCCCGGAATGTTTTGCATCCTGTCCTGCTTTTATTCCCCTGAATGGGACCCTCCTCCCAGTGGATGCAACCAGTGGGTCGCCTGTGAAAGCCTTTCTTACCTCACCTCTGACCTCCAGCCGTCTGCAGGACCTTGATCTGTGGCATTCAGCCTGGTCTTATAGGGTGTTAAAGGGGTTAACAGCATCCTAGCATACTGACTGACCACCAACACACTCCAACACACACATAGACTGGTACTCTGTAGCTCATAAACGCACACACACACTAATGAATGCACACATCCACACACAGGAATTGAAGTGAACTCTGAACTCACCATCCTGATGAATACTTCCTGTCTGCCACAGATTTCCTGTTTGCCACTAACATTATGGTGCATTCCAGTGTAAATGACTGTCTCACCACCGAACACCCGTCTTTCCTCATTACCTCATTAAGTACCCAAAATATGGTGGCTGCTGAGGTGTTAAATAACCCTGTTGATGGATGCAGTCCTCATTTTCTCACATCAAACTCACACAAAACATGCTGGGAAACTTGTGAAAAGGTCACAAACTGGTTTAATATTATACAAAGTATATACATATTTGTTGAAATGGCAAAAATGGCAAGTGATAGCTTTCTCAGAGGTGAGGCGAAGAAGAACGAGAGGGATTTCTGCTATTTTAGAGCGACATGGAGGGAAGAAAGAGTTAATAGCATTCCCACACAAGAGACTTATCAAGCATTCAGCTGCCATAGCAACACTCAGTGTGAGTCATTGGTCCGTTAAGCTTCGGTACTGACCTCCTCACTGTCTACCCTCTGTCCTTCTTTCTATCTCCTTCTCTCTCACTCTCACACACACACACACACACACACACACACACACACACACACACACACACACACAAGCACACACACAAGCACACACACATTTAAAAGCAGAGAAAGTAAGGCTGGTCCTGCCCACCGCACAAGTGGGATTGTATTCTAAGGAGCTTGACACAAAAGAGATTTGTGGACTGCATGTCTTGTTAATGCAACATCACAAGACTGACTAAATCCCAATGAACACAGTAAGGTTTTTTTCCACTAATAAGGCAGACAAAGAGGGTGGGTGGTGCTCCTTTTACAGAGTGGTTCCGTGTTTTAAGGAAGAGACACTGAGAGGTCACTGGGAGCTTTCCCTTTGTTATGGTAGTAATGAGAGTCACCGCTATTTCATCAAACCAGAGGAAGAGCAGTTGATTTGGTGATTAGTCAATCGAGTACCAGTAACCAGTGACTCAGGTCCTCAGTACTGTGACTCAGTCAGGAGGATGCAGAACACTAATTATAACACATTATGGGCTAATAACTATCTTTTGTCACAGGAAGAGAGGTTAATCTTTTTAACATCAACTTTCTTTGTTCATTAATAAGCGACTAAGGGACTCCAACTTGTGATGTAGAATAGGTGTGTGTGTACTGGAGGCAGTTGTGTTTAATTAGTTTGTCTTTTTATGAGGGGAGATCCCTGTTGTTTTAAATGCAGACCATTCACCGCAGCCTTCACGTTTATTTGGGGATGTTAACATAGTTTTCCCCCTCTCCTTACCGCAGGCCACATTTAGATAACATAAAGTACACACAGGCAGGGTTTACAGCCGAACCACACACCATACGATTGCCTCGTTGGTGTGTTCTGACTCATTTAGACAGAGATTATAGGGTCTGGGTTTGGACTGACTACCTTGCTGACTGACAGGCTTAAACAGGAAATCTTCTGTCAATACTGTGAAGAAGCTGCAGCGAGGTTGAACTAAACAGCACATTAAACTTAATGTGATCTCACATGCATTTCACTCCATATTGATGTGTTTTTCTGTAGTGTATTAGAAGTACACACTGATTTTAGTCAACTTCTGTCTGTGTTTCATTTAGAGCAATCAAATAAATAGACTCATGCAGCCTGTTCTGATTAGTTTTATTCCATAAATGTCATACCTCCAAAACACCACAACCAAAACACAAACAACAGGAAGTCACTCCTGAGTTTATCTACATCCCCATGACAACTAATGGATATAGTGGTGGGCACCAGAGCCCCACCCATGGGCCTCAGGTCCAGTTCTTGAAAAAGAATAATATTCATATGCTATTTAAGCCTTCTATTCTTCTTGAAATCCCCGGGGAGTCCACTACACCGAAGAAAGGCCTTTACACTATCAGATCAAACCTTTTCATCTGTAATGGATGTGTGCTGGGGTGCACAGACAGTATTATAAGACAGACGTGGGTCTTTGCACATGAGCACCCGGTTGTTTGCTGAATAATGACCAGTCACTTCCTCTGCTTGCGCGTGTTTGTGCCATTTTGTGCGAGCGTTTGACGGTCAGAGGGAAACGATTTATAGCGTCTCGCCCAAATAACAGAAGCACCCAATGGCTTTGACTGAGTTCCTTACAAATAATCTGTCAGCAGGTTTTTGATGTTTTTTTCCAGACATTCGCGCTATTAAATGTCTGCCATGAAGACTACAAAGGCTCATGTATCTGGGGCACTGTTTTAAACAGCCTAGAATCACAGCAAAAATGTCTAATTTTAAACTTGAGGGTAACTTTATTGCACCTCCTTGTAGATCATGTGAATACAGATACACATGTTCTACTTATCCTGACACATCAAAGTTTACTTAAAAGAATTACAGCAGCTCTATCGTGCTGATGAAGAGAACCACTTTAGTGGTCTCGTGCCTTAACACAGTTAAAAACAGCTATTTTATCTCCACAGCTATATGTATCCAACACACTCGCACACACTCACCCACCCACTATCTACCCTGCCCGCTATATTTAGCACCATGCTACATTAGCACTTCACACTCCATTGAAAATGCACGGTACAGCGACAGTTGCGATAAGGGTGCCGATTTCTTTGTTTCTTTCTTCATGCTTGTGCACACACATACACACACAGTACATACACATATACATTATACTTTGTTGTTTTATCATATTTCTCCCCCTTCCTCCCTTTTCCTCCTTCTCATCCCTCTGACCATTGTTTTCACAGGCTGTTAAAATTCCTGGGCCGTGACCTGTTCCTCCCCTAGCTCCCTTTCTCCTCTTTTCCTCCCTCATCCTGTCAAAGTTGGGTCGTCTACATTGTTTCTTTTTCCCTGTTTCTCAGTCCTTAGTTTTACTTTCTTTACTGATATTCAGTGTACACCATAGCTCAACATGTGTGTGTTAGCAGGTCAGGGCCAGCTGATAGATGCAGGAGTTCTGAAATTGCCCGCACTCAACTCTTCTATAACGAGAAACAGACTTTGTGAATGTGTGTCTGTGAGTGTACACACTGACTGAACAAAGCAAGGGCACTTCAATTGCTTGGGCCACAGAAAGATTCTTCCCCCCTTCATCACTCCTCCCCTGACCCTCTACACACACACACACACACACACACACACACACACACACGCACACACACACACACACACACACACACACACACACACCTCCCAACCACAGAGCCCAAAGCAGGAAGCACAGTCCCTGAGGGAGGGAGGAGGGGTCAGGAGAAGGGGAGGCATTAACGTCCCCTCCCTCCTAGAAAAAGCTACAGGAGAGGAGGAAACTTAACTTTACACACTTTCTCTCCACCAACACACACACACACACACAGGCACATGCCTACAGATGGTGAACACCCACTGACTCATAACGTTCTGTTCCCCTGCGTCTGGGAGGGTTTAAGATACACACATGTTGTGGAGTACGTCTTGGGGGGAACTTTCTCGCCCAGCTGGCTTTGGCTCCATTTAAAGAGGACCGGATGGTTCATAAAGGGGACGGAAAGAGAGAAATCAGAGCAGAGGAAAGAAGGCCTCCTCCCTCTCACACTGTCTTTCTCCAGAGTGAGGTCATCCAGCGAAGGATCTGCTGTGGACAAGACCGCCCGGTCTGGATTTGATCAGAGGTCCTCTTCTCTGCCCCCACCTCCCCTGTTTCTAACTCCTCCTCTTCGTCAGAGTCCTTTCTGAGTTTTTTTTCTTTTCTTCCTCCGTATACATTTGCCTTTTCACTCAAAACAAATTGGAACGCACACAGAAGAGAAAAGAGGATTTGGCTGAAGGCTGTGTGGATTTAATGTGAAGCATGTTTCTGTGTGAGCTGCCCTGAAGACTGTTTCTCCTAAACCTCAGGTGTTCCAATGGCGCCAGTTGGAGAACCTCTACTTCAGAGAGAAGAAGTTTTCTGTGGAAGTTCATGACCCCAGGAGGTAAATGAATATCAATGTAATTAACTGAGTGTTGAATTGCATGATACCAATTATACTTTAGTTATTAAATGTTGATACTATTGAATGTTTGTGTAGTTCATGTTTGGAAGTGGTATAATTTTCCCTCAGTTATGGACACCTTCCAGTAGCACTGACTGTAAATTACCCCTGTGTTTAATTTGAATGTGTTGAGGTCCAAACTACAGTGCATGAAAAGAGAGATTGGAATCTAATTCAGTAATAGTTGCAGCATTTGTCTTGGCAATAGAGCGGGATATTGTGGATGTCTCGGTGGAGCCTGACACAGATTGATAGTCTGATATTAACACACTTGTGCAGCCACATGCATGCACAAACACAAGTTCTCTTTCACACACACATACAGTGTAAAGCCTTGATGGTTGACCACAGAAGGAGAGATGGCTGCGCGATAGCTGTTTTGCGGAGGAAGTGACCTCTCTTGTGTTTATTTAACACAGCTATATATGTGGAGTGTTATTCTACAGACAGAGGGAGGGAGAATGCGAGAAAAAGAGACAGACAGGGTGAAACAGAGAGCAGTGGTGTTTTCTTTACAGGAAGCTGTCATTAGGGTGAGCGGGCCTGTTGCTCAGCTACAGATGTGTGTTTAAATAAGGATGAGTAAACAATGAGGAACATCTTGTGTGGCTGGTTTGCCATATTAAACCTCTAATATTCTTTATAGGGATGCACAGTATATATAAGTGCTGATAGAATACATAAAAACACAGTGGTTATATTTCATGGTATTTACTTGCTCAGAGGCCATCATTACTTCTTTAGAAGTCAATTAGGCGGTGGCTCGTTTTACTGCATTTTTACAAGTGTCAGAGAAATGTGGTTTCTTTCAGGTAATATATAAAAAGCCCTATCTAGAGGCGGAGCTTAGCTTTTCTGTTAATGAGTGAACTTTGTGAAAGAGGAACTGCTATTTAGGTATTATATTGGTAAGGACTTAGCTATTGGAAATCATCCATCCGTCCAAACATCTTAGCCTTTCTTACCCACATGTATGCATAAACTTGGGGTATAACAAAAATGTGAAATGATTCACTATCTTATCTTTAACAGCCATGACAAACCTCATTAGTATTTGTAGTATAGGTAATGGTGATGATGAGGAAGTTGTCTGGTGGGAGTGTTTTGACTGACCATCTTTTGTATTCAGTGTATATAAGGAGGCTTTGTGTCTGCTCTTACAGTCGGGCCTCGGTGACGAGAAGGACGTTTGGTCACAGCGGCATCGCTGTGCACACGTGGTACGCCTGTCCTGCCCTCATCAAGTCCATCTGGGCCATGGCCATCAGCCAACACCAGTTCTACCTGGACCGAAAGCAGAGCAAGGTCAGTGAGTCAGACCCACCACAGACCATACCCATGAATACAGATGAACAAGAGATACAGCAAACTCTGTAAGCATGGTCAGTAAGTGTGTTGCATTTAATGATGTGCTCTGACAAACCCTTTCCATTCTCGTTCCTCCAGTCCAAAATCCATGCAGCGCGGAGTCTGAATGAGATTGCTATAGACCTCACGGAAACAGGAACTCTAAAGACCTCCAAACTAGCCAACATGGGAAGCAAGGGCAAAATTATAAGTGGCAGCAGCGGCAGTCTGCTCTCGTCAGGTCAGTATGTGTTCAGTGTGTGTGACTGTGATGAGAGAAGGAGAGAAAGACAAACAGGGGGAGAGAAGATTTGATTTGTGTGCGTATTAGTCTTTGTGTTTGCATGTGTCTCATCGACAACTGGAGGGACAGAAACAGCTGCTTCCGGAAACAGGCCATTCATTCTGTGCTGAATGTTCTCCCACACATACTGTATACACACCCCGCCCTGTATCTTTCTGTATGTATGGAACCCACCCTCTGTGTCACACTCTCATCCTCCAGAGGCCCCTCTAAATTTAGTGGGCGAGGGAATGAAAAGGTCAGCAGGTCAATATACAAATGTACCATGGCCTTTAGAACAATATTTGTCCGTGTTGAACAAGTATGAATGTGACAGCAAGAGAGGAATGTACATGAACTACTTTTACAGTGAGGAGGAAAGTGCCCTTTTTAACCCAGACAGACATGTCAAGTGTTGCATGCTAGGAGAGTCAGTTCAGTAATTAGTCTGAATAGGCTCTAGTGAAATTTGATTGGCTTCTGCTACATTATTCATTCAAAATTACATTCACTACTAGACCAAAGCAGCATCATTTAAGGTTGAAGGTTTAAGGTGTCTATACATGGCTTTGGTGTCCGCTATTTAGATTACAGCACACCTCACTGAATCAATTACTGTTTCTACTCAAAAGAACACTATTCTCTTTCAGTAAAAATGTCCTGCATGCTGTCCTGTCCTATCGGATCAGTTGTTTGCCTTTCTTTTCTTCATTTTCTAAGTATATATATCTGTATCCCTGCCTAATCTCTTCAGCCATCCATTCCTAGTCTCCTAATCTCCCTTTTTGCTTCTCTTTGTCCCTCTCTAGTTTCACCCCCTCCCTGTATCATACAGGGTGTCTTTGTCCTATCTGTCTGTGTCTTGTCACTTGTCTCCTTGGTGTCGTGTCAGTGTGTTGATTTCATGATCCACTGCTAACTAGAGGCCATCTCTGCCCAGCAACATAAACATATCATAGGAACTGTGGTGCCACAAAACACCCCCCCCCCCCCCCCCCCCCCCCCCCCCGCCATTTATTTCTGGTCAAACTTTCAGCTGTGTTTAGTTTAGTATCGTTACTATGTCAAACTGCATACGTCACACACAGACCAACTGAGAGAAACAATGTGTTTTTCTGTGTGTGTGTGTGTGGGGGGTTGTATGTATGTATTTTTTTGCAAACGAGAGTGGCACCATCTCAGGGCCTTGGAGATTGTGCGTCACTGACTTTGTCCTAAACTGCCCCTTCCTTGAAGGACTCACACTCGCACATACACACAACTAACACTCAGTGTCCTTATCGAAGCGTTCCACTCACTTCCCTGTAAACATCCTGCGAGGGTAGCAGGTGCACGCATACTTGCTGCCTTTCCTATGCCTCAAAACAAGTCCCCACTACTCTACACACTCATATGCTCCTGCCTCCCGCCTCACGTTGTGTGTTGTCTGTGCCCTGCAGGCTCTCAGGAATCAGACAGCTCCCAGACAGCTAAGAAAGACATGCTGGCAGCACTGAGGGCCAGGCAGGAAGCTCTTGAAGATACGCTAAAAAAGAGACTCGAGGAACTCAAGAACATCTGCATAAGAGAGGCGGTATGAAAAACAACAGTTTCTGCAAATATTTAGAAAACCAGAATCATTTTAGACTTTGCCTTTCTAACCTTTCCTCCTGTCGGTTTTTTTTAGGAGCTGACAGGAAAGCTTCCCAAGGAATATCCTCTGGATCCGGGAGAGGAGCCGCCCACAGTGAGACGGAAGATCGGTACCGCCTTCAAACTGGACGAGCAGAAAATTACTCTGAAGGGAGAGGTGAGGCTGTTTTCCACAGTAGCACTTTATCACATTTGCAATCTCCCCGCTCCCCACTAAAGGCCAAATAAAAACAGGAGGTCATCTGGTGGTTACAGTGTTTAATACAAAAACCAAATACCACAAGGACCTGTCCAAGGCACTGTGGTGCAGTAATGTAATGTTGAATGCAGCGCTTAATAATTAAGAGTCTATTATTATTATTATTATGATCTATTTATGAACATTATGGGCTTTGTACATCAAAGCTGGTGTTTTAAAAGCTCTTGATGTTATACAGTGCTGATCAAGGGCTGTATTCAAAACCAATTACTTTAATTAATACTCACATAATGGTTGTGATGATTGACATAATGAAAACGTAATTCATCCCTCCTCAGTTGTTATGTGAGCAAAGGAAACAGAGAACATGGAAAAGCTTCAGTCTAAGACGTCTTGAACCTTGTGAAAGAAGTTTTTCTGCAGCTTTGTGTCTCTGTCTTTTTGTGCCACGGGTAGATTTTCCACAGCAGCAGAACTTCTAAAAATAGCCTGGCAGTATTCTTGCCACAGGAAGTGGTGATAGTAGGATTGTGTGAGCGCCTGAATGTGTGCAGGCATGGGTGTGTGGGTGTGTCTCTCTGAGGTTGTGTGCTTTGAAAAGAATCCAGGGACACAGTATCACAAAACTGCCTCGCACGCAGAAGGATGTTTCTTAATTTACACTGAACACCTTAAACTCCCTCACACACAGAAACAGAAGCCGCTCTGGCAGGAGTGTGAAGGGATTGTTAGAGAGTGGGATTCCTCTGAACTGAGGTAGTCCAGTGAGATGTTGACGCAAATAAATACATCATCGCTCTGTCTTTCTAGAGGCAAGTGAAATCATGTGTGTTCTCATAGATGACTGCAAACATGATTGATATGAGTTTATTTTCTTGTGTACACTCAGTTTTTTACTATTCTATGCTATTTAACAGTATACTACGACATGAATTTCCCTATGGGGATCAATGACGGTTTGTCTTATCTTATCATATATGTACAGCAGATTCACATATTTAAGTGAGGTAAACATGCAATATGTCTGCAGTGTGACAGCATATTTTACTTGGTACATTCTCTCTTTTCAAATCTCAGGAGAGGTATAGAGGAGGGGAGGATGGATTGATGGAGAGGTGTTATTATTGGGGAACAGGGTGACTCAATAGGGAATATCCGGCGGTGAGAAATGTGAAGCAGCAGCACAGATAAATGATTTCCGCAGTGTGTTTGGTCTGGCAAGGCTTGGTGTGTGTGTCTGACCAAATGCGTTGCATGGGAGAGTTAGAGTCTGACTACGTGTCTGCAAACTAAGCCTTGTTGTTTTTGGATTGTGCAGAGATTTCTGTTGCTAAAACTGTGAGCCAATCCAGTATCTTTGTGCCCTTGTCACTCAGAGTTTGCACTCGTGTGTTTGCTTTTCCCAGGAAGAGGAGCTGGAGCGTTTGGAGCGGGAGTTTGCCATTCAGTCCCAGATTACAGAGGCAGCCAGGCGTCTTGCCAGCGATCCTCACGTGAGCAGCAAGAAGCTGAAGAAACAGAGGAAGACTTCTTATCTGAACGCATTGAAGAAGCTCCAGGAAATTGAGAACTCTATCAATGATCACCGGGTCCGCTCTGGCAAGAAGCCTACGCTGAGGGCATCGCTAATCATAGAGGGTACCAATAAACTCCTATTCACTGAAATCAAAACTGTTATCACATCTCTTTATATCTATGAGCTGTTTTCTCATATATTTTATATCTATGAGCTGTAGTTGCCTTTAAATTGGTTATTTGTACAATATTTACAATATGTGTTTTTCTCTGTCCTATAGAGGCCAACATTTCTGAAGACAGTTCGTTGTCTGACGCACTGGTCTTAGATGATGGTAAGTCTGTCCTGCATATTTCTGTGCAAGATTCTTACAATAATTGATTATTGGGCTTCTGTTTACATGATTTTATGAAATAATAATCTTAAACCTAATTCAACGATTACTCTATTTCAGATGATCCTCAAGTCACAGGTACTCCCACCTTCTCTCCAGTAGCATCGCCTCATAAGGGCCTCCCCCCTCGACCTCCCTCTCACAGTCGGCCCCCTCCGCCCCAGTCCCTGGATGGCCTGCGACATCTGCACTACTCACGCCCTGACTACGATAAATCACCCATCAAACCCAAGATGTGGAGTGAATCGTCACTGGATGAGCCATATGAAAAAATCAAGAAACGCTCCTCTCATTCAAGGTAGGGAGGGAGTTTATCTAGCTTGAGAATAAATCTAGGGTTTGTTGACGTAATGTAGAGCATGACATACATATGTTGCCTATGTAAAAGCTACTTATTAAATGACATTTGTTTCAAATAATGCTTATTTTCTTTGCCTCTTTTCCATGTCACAGGCGTTTCCCAAGCTCTGGCAGTGCAGATCCGGGGGGGTGTAACTCTCTGCAGAGCAGCCCCATCAGGAACCTCCCTCTCTGGAACTCTCAGTCCAGCATGCCGTCGACCCCGGACCTGAGGACCAGAAACCCCAACTACGTACATTCCACCAGGTCAGCATTTATACCTTTCACTGTTTATTTAAGACTTAGATTGCTCTATTATTGATTATGTGGAACTTTAAAAATGCCTGGTTATGACAAGTCTACCCCAACTAGAATGGAGTTACAGGGCTTTATCTTTTACTTTACTTAAAAAAGAAAAAGAAATCTCCTGGTTTTATATTGAAACATTTGTAATTCCATGAAATCTGTATATCTTTCCTATCCGATTCCCTATATGTAACTTGCTGTGTGATTCTGTGTCTCTCAGGTCAGTGGACATCAGTCCCAGCCGTCTGCACAGCCTCGCTCAGCACTTTAGGAACCGCAGCTCAAGCCTTGAGTCTCAGGGCAAACTGTTGGTGCCCGACCCCGACGTACACCCGCACACCCTGGGCACCCCGGAATTCTTCCTGGTCCCAGGACGCAACTCCAATGGCTCGGACCCACTGGACGACTGCTCATCCTGCACCAGCCAAAGCAGCTCAGAGCATTACTACCCCTCTGGCGGACCCCCAGGCAGCAACCCCAACTACTCCACTCTGGGAGAGGACTCACCCTCCAAAGCAAGGCAAAGGCAGAGGCAAAGACACAGGTAGGGGCGGGGCAGATGCAATTAAAAGGGTTTCCTTACACAACATTTGGCTATTGTACTAAATATATATAATTTAACAGTTCTTTTCTAGGATTGATGAATGATTGTCCTTCCTTCTCCCTCCAGGTCGGCAGGTCACCTGGGTTCCTCTAACTCCGGCTCCATGCCCAACCTGGCAGCTAAGAACGGCACTGGTGGGGGCTCAGGTGGAGGCGGGGTAGGAGGGGGACACCACGGAGTCTACCTCCACAGCCAGAGCCAGCCCTCCTCCCAGTACCGCATCAAGGAGTACCCGCTGTACGTGGAGGGCAGCCCCAACCCGGTGGTGGTGCGCAGCCTGGAGAACGACCAGGAAGGCCACTACAGCGTCAAGGCCCAGTTCAAAACTTCCAGCTCCTACACGGCAGGGGGGCTGTACAAAGAGGCCTGGGCGGGAGAGGAGGGAGGCGAGGGGAGTGGCCGACTCACGCCGTCGCGCTCTCAGATCGTACGGACACCGTCATTGGGGCGAGAGGGTGGGGGCAGTGGGGGAGGGGGGAGGGTAGCGGTGTCTGACGAGCTGCGGGGCTGGTACCAGAGGTCCTCAGGAAGCCTGAAGGACAGGAGTCACTCACACTCGGGGTCTACGTCCTCCGAGACAGGGTCGCAGCAAGGCACTCTGGGACATGGTCGGGGGAGTCGAGTCGGCACACTTGCCAAGGGCTCACCAGGTGGGTCTTCTTATTTGTTCACATTAAACCTGGTCTGATCTGGGTAAAAAGTATCATGTGTTTATGAAAAAAGCTTTACACTGGTCCTGTTATTTATACAAACAATTATTTTGTTTTTAAGAGTTTCTAATGAAAAAGTTCATGCTGTGAAAACTCAATGCCCTGTGCGAGGCTCGAACCTCAAACCTTCAGATTATGAGACGGGCCATGGGTCATGTTTTCAGATTGACTGAGACTCAGAACCCTAGCTGAGTCATTTCAGTAATAAAAAGTGTTTCCCCTTTATTTGATGAACACTCTAAACCTGTTTGATATATATAGTTTTGTATTTTTATTAAGTTTACAATTTATTTAAATGTAAATGAGAAACTTTATATTTATATAATTGATTGAATAAGGAATGCCCTGTGCGAGGCTCGAACTCCCGACCATTAGATTAAGAGACAGATGTCCCAGCAATGTTTATGATGTAAGATTAGCTGTGAGCTTTGAGCGGTGAACATTTGCTGAGTAATTTGGTCACATAACATTCACATTAATACAGTTGGTACAGTCCGCCTCTATAAGTACAATGTAAAAGTTACATGGGTAGCTTGGTTGCTCTGCAAGTGAGCAGAAATCTGGACGTTTGGATCATCCCAAACAGCATTAGATCAGTCTGTACCAAACAGCGCTTTATGAGTTTAAATTACACACCTTCTTTGTTGATCAAATATGGAAATATGAAAAGTTAATGCCCCGTGTGAGGCTCGAACTCACGACCTTCAGATTATGAGACTGACGCGCTGCCTACTGCGCCAACGAGGCCTGGTTTGCTGAGGGACAGTTGTGTAACTTGACCCCTGACCCACACGTTCCTAGTGACCCTAGAGCCACATCCCCCTAAACCCCTCCCCCCATGTGGAGCAAAGTTGAAATACCTTTGCCGATCACCTCACTGTAGCCTCTATATTGTGTGTTTGCTCTGTGTATATGTGTCTCTGGTCAATGTGTGTTTGTCCGCTGTGTCTCTCTGACAACGCTGCATTTTGTGTGTTACTTAGCATGACTAACTGTCCGTTTTCCCCATAGCTGCATCCCCTCACAGCCAGAGGAGTATGACGCCCACCAGCGAACACGCAGCCACACCCCCCTGTAGCCCACAGCACATCCTCAACTGGCAGAGCGGGTAAGACACAAACAGACTAACACACACACACACACACATACAGCAGCTGACCGGGATGACAACATGCTTCAAGCCGAATATGAATTCACATTCATTCACGACAAACTGCATCTTGGCTGCTCAGCTTCTTTCTCTCCATCTTTATACAACCTTCACTCTAACATCCTCTCGAGCTTTGACCCTATGTTTTATCTGTCAGCTGATATTGTTTTACACTGTTGTTGAACTAATCCTAAAGGAAGATTTGTATGGCATTGTGGGTTCTATTTGAAACCTTCTTCATACTCAGTTTCGGTCTCGACTTCACTCACTGCATCTTTGTTTTTTCGCTCTTTTTTCCTGTCATCTTTACGTCACGGGAAATGTCTCTTATTTCCTAATTTGTCATTTCTTCCTTGTCTCTCTCTGTCTGCACTAACCCTCCTTTCCTTGTGTGTGTGTCCTCTCTCCTGGTTTAGAGGCACAGCAGACAGCTCTCCTACTGAGGACGTCTGTCAGTCTCCCCCTCAGCCCAGCTCTGATGCATAGAGGTACTGTCTGTAGTCTCCACCTACAGTGTACTTTACAGAAAACACAGCAGCAGCAAAACAGAGAGAAAATAACCTCGAAGCAAGTGACAGCAGTAGCGAATTTACTCACAATCAGACTTTAATCTATAGGAAGTTGCCCATTAATAAATCCCAACGTATTAGGCAACATCACTTTCATCATCGACTGTGGGGGGCTGACAATGGGAAATGTCCACCATGTCTTGCTCTTTGACGGTGGCGGTATATGTCATGTACTCCTTCTTTGGCTGTATCTCTATCTGATCTCTGCATGTGCTCTGCTCTGTGGTCTGACACTGGCTAATCCTTTACAGGATCTACTAATAGTAAAACTCAACCATGTGCTGTATGTGAGAACACTTTTTATCAAACAATTGCAAGAATGGATATCATCTTGAAACCATGTAGACGATAGTATTTAGAAGTTGCTCTCCGAGGTCAGTCTCATGCTGGTGTGTGTGTGTTCCTCTGCAGGTCTTTCAGTGACAGCTGTTTTCCCAGCAGCCCTCTGTGCTCGGAGCTGGCAGATGTGCAGTGGTACGGACACGATAAGGCCAAACCTGGAACCCTGGTCTGAGACCTTCCTAAAGGGCCCAGAAAAGTCCCTTTGCCCTCTCCACTGTCCCTCACTACTACCCCTCCACAACCAACGACCTCATCCCTAAGGCCCTACAGAAGCCCGGCCCGGCGGACTGGACATGAGCCGCCCTCCTCCTTAAATCCTGCCCTCCATCCATCTCACCACCTCTTTATTATGCCCCTCCATAACAGTTGGACCGGGACACACTCTGGGCTCTGATAGGGGCTGATTTCACAGGACAGAATGAGAAGTGCCACCTCAGCTGATGAACTGTTGCCCTACAGCACCACAGAGCACATCCTTTACTCAGCACACAAGCAATGGGGCATAAGGGAAGGAGAGACGTGAAGGGAGAGCCCCGAAAAATATCAAACATACAACTCAAACTCAACAGAACCAACATCAGTCCTTCCTGGATCTGTTCTCATATCTCATCTCTGGCCCCCCAGACCTGAACTAACTCCAGTGCACTGCCACCCAATCAGAGGACACCTGCTGGATTTGAGCCACCAGTTAAAAAAACATTTCCAGTAACAAATGAACTGTGTTGGATTTCATTATTCCCGCTTATGTTGTTCGTCTATTGGGTTTGTTTGTCCCCATATATTTATAAGAAGAGAAGATGACTTTTCAAAAAAGATCTGGATTAACTAACATTTAGATGACAATTTCAACTCCTCTCAGTCCAACCCACAACCAAAGACAACGTACTGGGTTGACTGGTCCCACCGGGGCTCGGGGCCCATGCAGAAAGGTGACCAGTCAACTGTATGAGAGTAAATTCACAGTGACAATATCAGGATGGTTTATTGGACTGTATCTGGGATATTGATGAGGACTATAGCAATAACAAACATGTACAAGTATATGAACTGGTGTGAATCTGAAGCAGGCATTTTGCTGTTTTCTCTGCCTTGTGATGCTTGGAGCAAAACATCATTGGTGCATCATAGGGACAATTTGGAGTTGTGGTTATTGGGTTTGGCATTGATCTATGCTTATTTCAGTGATTTCATCATTCCTGTTCATTTAATGTCTTTTCAAGATTCTTCTGTCTACATGTTGGTCCACAAAGTTCATTGTGATCAGAGGGTAAGGGTGGGGTAGAGTGAAGTGGCATTCGAGGGTGTTATTAGCCACATCGATTTACAATTATGGAACCATTTGATTTTGGAAGTTTTAATATAGAAACCAGACATTTTGGTTCCACCTTTTCACCCGTGAAAGTAAGTTATTTCTGGCTGTTGACATCTGTTGGAGTGACGTGATATTGAGGCTGTTCAGTGATAAATCTCTGAAGTGAATTATCTTTTTTTATCACGACTGTTTCTTCTTCGTTGGTCTTGGCTCTGTCGCCATGCTGAGTGTCTGTCAGTCCCCTTCTGTAGCGCTGTGCTTTCTCCTCTTTCTGTCCTCTCTTCAGCATGACTGCAGCCTCCTGACTGAACACAGACAGTCTGAACTCACTACTGGCTAACACCACACCTCATATGATGCATGAGTGCAGGTAAACCAGTGCCAAACATGTTGGTGCTTTACATTTGTACTGTAATGCAGCACTGGAACAGCCGCTCCTTCAATCGCCCCAGTCTTTGGCTATTGTATGAAGCAGCAGCAGACTTCTCTATGATTTGGCATCACGTGTAGTAGGAATTATTTGAAAAGCACAACATTAACAGTGTCTATGAGGGCTGGACCTACAATCAGTGTGTTCTCATTTTCCACTCTCAATATTTGTAATAATGAGTTGCATCAAAGTGCATAAGAGGAAACAAAAAAAGCTAAAACTGCGGGCAATGTGTTAAATGATAGTGCATATTAGTATATGAATTTCAGGTCTACAATTATAAATACCCTACTGTCAGGGCAGAAGAGAAGCCATAGCCAGAACTGAAAGGAAATATTCTTTAACCTTCTCAAATGGAGATAATTATTTTCTCACCAATCCACAATCAGATATTCAGAACAGGGTTAGAAAAGCACATCTGGTTTTGTACGAAGGAAGTAGAGCTCTGCATGTTTTAACTGTATCTAAATGTCCCCCCCCCCCTTCCCCTTGCCAAAGTCTTTGTTAAGAGATACTGTTTTATTGTTGCACAAAATCTGAATAAATCAGATGTTAATTTTATTAAGATTATGACAGATTCTACTTGTCAGTGATATAAAGACGTGGACATAAATGGTGTCGAAGAGGAAAGACTACAATATCATCTAGTTAATGTTGCCACATGAATTCTTCTTCAGAAACATTGGTGTGATAATATTAAAAAGTCAAATTTGTCGGCTTTCAGAGTCTTTTCTTTTCTACCCTCTACATTGAGGATCCAGCAACCAGTCTTCAAAGTCTAATAGTGAGTTGAGCGCGTTGTCTTAAATTTGAATGGATTAATGGTGTTACATGTTTAAAGGCGTGGGAGGACTGGTAGGCATCTTACCGTGTCCATCGTAGTGTTGTGTTCCCTTTATGCACTGACACCAGCTGTTGTAATCTGCCACTTTAAAGACTATTTAAATAAGGTTAAGCCCATTCCCTGCATGGTTGGTTCTCCAAGAGTTGCTCACCCATGCCTGGTCAGTCTTTACCCAGGGCTGGAACCAGCACACCATCCTATAGGACTGAATTACTCTAGTGTTTCCGAGTCACCTTTAGAGGACAAGTTAGTAAGTCTTAGCTCACTTTCTGTGTGCTGAAGACACGATCCCATGCATGCCCTGCAGATCCACTGACAAATAAAGACCCCAAAGATATCCAGCATCCGACTTCCGTATGCTAACATTAGCACGTCTTGCTCCATAGTGTTTCCTCGCCTCGCCCCCCCGCAGAAAGTCCCATCTTGACCTTGTGGTAATCTCTGAGCCCGATGTGAAAAAGTGTGACGTCCCGTCCCTCTGTAGCTCCAAACACACCATATTTTCTGTGCTCCATGAAATGTATGAGGTTTTTTGTAAAATGAACTAACTCTTTTATCAGTCTTTTCCTGTATGTACGGAGGGGCACTGTAAGGTTTTGTGGGGGGTTTTTAACATTCACATTCATTGTTTTAACAATGTTCCATTTTATATGAACCAGTATTGTTTGTTTTTTTTAGTTCTGACATTGTAACAACCACTTCAGGTGCTACAAAATGACCAGTTACTGCTTCGTCACGTAGGATCTAGGCATCTTCATTGTTATCAATAGATTCAACTACCAGATGTGCAAAATGAAGCTTATTTTAACAGACGGTTTAATAGTAGATCACTTCGGCTACCAGACAATAGAGCATGTAACCTGATCTTATCAGTTCTGTTCAACTGTAACAATGCATTAAAGGTGTTGTAGAAAAAATGTGGAATTGATCAAAAAAATAACTGAGTTCCACAGTTAATTTATTCTTTTTTCTATTAAAAATTTGTATAGTAACTTTACATTTTTCAAAACTGTGTTGTTGGAAATTGATGATGAATTTTCAAGATGAGAAGCAGTGGTGGTTCTTGAGAGTAAGAAAAATAAATTATTGATGAATGTTCTCAAGATTACGCCTTTGTCTGTTTTTTTTCCTCTCTTTCATTCAGAAATTAAAATCATGATGATATTTAGACATTGACTCACTACAAGGGGTCTCAGATCAGAAGCATTCTGCTGAACGGTCGACTATCAGTGTGACTTATCAAAGGGGATCCCCTCATGTACTCACCACTTCCTCTCCCCCGGACACACTCACTCTTCTGTCATCACATCCAGGCCTCAGCCACTTCCCTCTACACTCCAACTGGGCTAGAAGGATTTCCTGTGGAGCCAGAAGGAAGATATACTCCAGAGACAAAAGATATTACTCACCACCCAACCTCGAGATTAAACAGCTGCACGGATGCATAGGCGGGCTTTATGTTGCACGTGTAGCTTTTGATTTGCAGGCCACTGTGTTTGGCTTCTACCTCTGATCACATTGTACAATTTCTCCCTGTGTTAATGCAGCATTGAACCATGATTAAAGTGTACTGGCAGGAAATGCAGACATCTAAACAAATGGATTGTTTCTACAACTCAACATGTACGCTGATATCATGAAACACCAGATACACAGACGACAAACACACAGTAGTTTTGATGCTGTAGTATGTATCACACAGAAAAGTGGTTTCTATCAGAGGAGTCAGATGTCAGTGTTTGTCTGGACACCCTACCTCGTCATCCTGCTGCTTTCTTTTATTCTCCTTCTGTGTCCATTTACCAATGAATCCCATGGTTTTCTTTGTACTCGGTGTGTTCCCATAGCAGCTCTCCCGACCAGGCAACAGCTGGAAGCTGTTAGCCAGACATGCCGTGAGAAACTCGCTCCTCAGTGATTTCTTTTTTCTCCTACAAGTCTGTTTGTGTGTGGGTGGGTGTGTGTGCGCTTACTATGAGAGTGGTGTATGACCTTGCTTTATCCTTAATGAAACCCTCCATCACTGCAAAACTCACACACACCACACCCTTGACTCTGTCTGTACTCTATGAACCTCAGGACTATCTTTGAGGACCAGCTTCAGTTTCAAGCCATAAAAGTCAGGACATTTTTGCAACATTATGACATTTTGTCAAGACTGTTAAGGGGCAGTTTTAGGGCTGGTATTTGGTTTTATGGTTTAAGCTGAGGTCAGGGTAAAAGTGAATGTCGAAATCAAGACTAGTCTAATTAAACAATCAATGCAGATTTAGTAAAACAGCATATTTATTCACTCTCAATGATCATCAGATTAAAACAGTGAATTCACTTGAGAAAGACCAAGTGTGGTCGAAGAGTTTATAGTTAAATCATTGCAGCAACGTTTGTTTCCTCTTAATATAATCAACATGTGCAGCAGACAACTCTTACTTGTTACAACGTTTCCTCATCTATTGTTACACTAAACAGAGGAAGTTAATCACACACTGCACAACATGACAAATCTCAGGCAATGCTGCCCTCTAGTGTTGAACACAGAGCACTGTCTGTGAAAAACGATAATCAGTTTTGACAATGTAAGATTATGATAGCTCAGCTGTAAAAACATGCATGTACTTTATTTAATTGAATGTCATCATTACTGTGTTTTATATACACCCTTTCTTTTTTTAACATGTTCTGTTTTTGTATGTTTAATCTTTGCTTTTGACAAGTTAATCATTTATTTTTATGATTTCACAATATCTAATACAACTTCCTCAAACACAATCACATTGCACAACCTACCAGCCCTGATCAACAACAGTAACTGAGTTTACAAAAACATTGCGCATGCAGGAGTGTGTCGTTTCAGGTCTTTCAGTTTCACAGACTGAATTCCACATTTTCCAGTAGAGGCCCATTGGTTTCATCTGGATCCTGAGCAGAAAACAAAATACAATTCAGACCCCTTTAAATCCAACAATATATGTCATCATCACTGCCACAGAGTTAAACTGTAGTATTTAACTGAATTTGAAATGACCAAAACAAAGCATCCAAGTTAATGTTGAACACATCCCTTTTTTATCCTCATGTTATTCTAAAACTCATACCCTGCAATATTTACCTGTGAGATGCGGCTGTAGGCCTGAATATTGGGACTGTAGCGACGCAGGCCTCTCAGCGACAGGAAAAGTATGTAGACTGACGCCAAAAGACACTGTATAGCAAACGCTATGGAGCTTCCCTTTGCAACATATGAACCAATGCGCTATTTGGAGAAATGTGGAGAAAGAGGACAGTCAACTCACAGCTCAGAAAGCATTTCACCCTACACATTCAGTATATTTTCCCTGGTCTGCAACATATTCTGCACTCTTCTATTCTACTCTGTTTCTTCTTGCACTATTTATATTTGTTATTTGTTTTATTTGTTTAATAGTTTTATGTCTTAAATTACTATCTTGCATTGTTGGAGGAGCTCGGGACTTAAGATTTCCATTGCAATTTCTACACTGTACTTAGTGCAGTATATATGACAAGGTGTTACCTTGGTTGGTGATTGGCTAATGGTTACACAACCCAAAAAAACGTTATGACATCATAAAGTGGCCAAATTCTGATCAGCTCATTTTCAGACAGGTTTTTATATAAGTGGATCAGAACAAAAAGAGAGAGAATCTTTATTCCTGAAACTTTCAGAATCTCTTTACATAGAGGGGACACATGTTGATGTATAAAAGACATGAAAAAGTGGATTTTGCATAATAGGTGACCTTAAAAAAGCCAGAATGATCTTTATACAGTGTCCATGCTACATAGATTTACCTGTTGGTTGGTGTTGAGTGCAACATGCTGTGTGGAGGTGAGGCCGGTTGCGAGGAGAGTAGAGAAGCCAAACACCAGACTAAAGAGGTTCAGACCCATCAGAGCGATGATCTGTTCAGGATTCACAATGCACAATTAGACGAGGCAGCTGAAAAACTGTCATTTTAAATCATAAAACGTAATATTAACCTTTAATTTATCAGCCTTCCTCTGAACCTCCATTGCCAGACACCCAGAAGCCACATACTGTAACAACACACACAGTTATGACCCAGTATTTGACTCTCTCTCTGTCTGAGTTTATTTCAGCGGTAGCAGATGTGGACTCACAAACAGGCTTGACCACACAGGTGTTGTCATGGATACAGAGCAGTTGTAGCTGACACATGCATGGGTGACTGTGGCCAGTATGCAAGATAAGGCACTGAGGATCTGCACCACCTGAAGGAAGTACATGGTATGAAGCAGGCCGACAGTTTAATAGATCAAACATACTAATGGTTTCGACAAGCACATGATAGTAGAATCTCACCCCAGTGACCAATAGTCTGGTATTAACCACCGTCCCAAACCAGCGATGAATCCTGCCGTTAAGTAGCTCGCTGTGATTGGTAGCCGGGGTCGGTGGGTGGGTTAAGGGTGTCTCCTTAAAAAACACCTGGTACAACCCCTCCTGGAACATGTTCTGCATCATCTGTTGCAAGGGAGAGGTTAACTTATAGGAAAACAAATGGTTGCTAAAAGTAATCAGTCAGCCAACACACCTTTGTTCAGTTTTTACTCCTGATTTCTATCCATGTAGCTTCTTACCTTCCACAAATGTTGTACAGCTTCCACTCATTCATCCACATGCCCTCATATAGAATAGAATATGTCTTCTAGCTGAAATAAGAAACATTTAAACAGATCATTTTCTCGCCGCTGTTATTCCTCAGTGTAGTGCAGCAGATCCAGGGGTTAAAGTTCATGGGAGTGTGTCGATAAGGACCGGTTAAAGTCCACTATTGAGGAAATGACACAGGGAGCTCACTGGTCAAGAGCTTATCAGCGTGTAGACAAAGTTTACTGTGACATCGGAGGACTGGTTTCATTTTAGAAACTGGTTAGGATTTTTCTTTGTGCCTTAATAGCCAAGAATACATATCACTTTATAGAAACTCAACTCCTCAAAAGTACGAATAAATGTGAAATTTAAATGAAAAAATTGAGAAATTAATTCAATCATCCAGCAATCGGGCTACACACCAATCAATTAATTGTTTTAAATATCATTGCATCATTCTATGTCATGGAGTCTAATGTAAGTGTTGTCTCTATGAGCTCTTCCACTATAGTATTATCCTGCTCTACACACAGAACCCTGCTACATTACCTTAAATATTGTCCATTTTTACATTACTTTCAATAAAACAACTCTTCATAACATTCTGCAACTAAGCCTCTTTATTCAAATAGCATGATATAATTAGTTTTATGTAATAAAAAAACATTTTTTTAAATGACAACAAACTTTAATTGTTTTAACTTAATCATAAAACGTGTAAGAACAGGATACGATGAGGGTAAAAGTAACTACATATTTTAAAAAGAAATTGAAAAGAAAAACAGGATTAGTATACAAGTCAAATACAAAATATCTGAGGTGTAGTTTGAACAGTGTGACAACATCAACAAAGGCTCAGAACACAAATTCTATTAAATATGATATCGTTTTAAATGTCATTGTCTACCAGTAGATTTTCTGCATTAAACAAAGCCACGAGCGCTAAGAATAACTCATTAACAGAGCATGAGCATCTCATCCAAAAGGCCCCAGAAGGCAACAGAAAGAATCACTGTGAGGACCTCTGGCAGATGGACACATATTTATAAGATCTCTGTCAGACCCATTCTGTTACTCCTGGCAGTGTTTCTGTGTCGTCGTCCACCCCCCCCGTGTACAGGTCAGCCAGCCTGCTGAAAGGCGGCCCCCACAGGCTCAGGCTCTGAAAGTCCTGCTCCTCATCCGAGTCCGAGGAGTTGACTGAACTGAGCGAACCTGCGTCAGAGCCGACACCCTCGTAGTCGAACACCAGGAGCGAGTCATAGGGAGGGGCTGTGGGGTCACTGTCGGCAGCATGCACGTTCTGTAGGGGAAACCGGGGAAACGCATCACATACAGAGAGTTTGAGTAGCAATCACAAAGAAATATTGCAATGATACGATGTCCTATACCACAGATATTCTGGTATAAAATGTAACATCACTCACATCCTCAATTAAATGGAAAATCTCTTCGTTGTCGTGGAGTTGAAAGCGGTAGGATGGGGGTCTCTGGACAGCAGGGAACACATCAGAGCAGAAGACTTCAGGACGATCATCCAGGCCTCTGTGGAGCTGACTGAGGTCATACTCCTAAAGAGAAACAGAAATTCAATCATTTGCTAAAATGAAAGATTGAGATTAATGAGATTAATAATATGGAGCATCCTCGAGACAATTTTTTCCGGATTTAAGCATGACTCAGGGTTTCACAGGGGAGGGTAATGTAATGTAATCTATAGCACAGTCTTTCTGCATACTGTTCTGATTTGACCTGATTTGCCCCCTCCTTCTCTGTTTTAACTGCAGTTACAAACATGAAATATCCTCCACGTGTTTTGTTCCTCTTCCACCTGCCAGTTAGCCCTTCACCTCTGTTAGTCATTGGATCACTTAACTCTCTGCAAACCTTTGGCCAAAAGGAATCCCTTTACTAGATGATCTGGTGCTGCAGGTGTCCATTCATGAATCTCTCTAGTCCTCCTGCCTTAGACAACTGACAGTGCCACTATCTTTTAAACTTGTATTTAAACGTCCTGCTCCTACCCGGTCCTCTTCACCTCCCCCCTCCTCATCGTAGCAGAAGATGTGGTCCCTGGGTACATCTTCAAGGAGAGGAAAATCCTTTTCTGACCTCCTCCTTCTTTTCAGCAACAGCAGCAGCAGCAAGAGCAGCACTGTGGTCAACAAAAACAAAATAAGTCAGTACAAATAAACCAAAACAAATCAGGACACCAAGTGAATAAAACAATCCTTGCTACATACGCAGAAGACCGAAAATTGTTCCCAGAACTGATGTGGCGAGAGAGGAACCGTGCAGATGAGGGGCAGAGCGTGGGATGAAGCAGGTAGTGACAGCGCCTTGACACTGGCACACTTCTACATCCAGGGTGCTGTCTTTGTAGATCATGCCGACGTCATAAATACGCATCAGCACACTATAGTCTCCAGGGGGCAACTCCCGTTTGGGAGCCAGGGCTGCCACACTGTCTGAAAGGGGAGACAAGACGCAGATACTCTTGAAGAGTCTTTGGCTTGAGTTTTCAGTAACTCTTTCTTTAAATACTGTATGTGTGTCATGCAGAGTTTTAGGTGACACCGCATTCGATTAAATGTTCAATAATAGATTAGGACTTGTCATTTGAAGGTAACCTATTATGCAAAATCCACTTTTTCACGTTTTTTATACGTAAACATGTGTCCCCTCTGTGTAAAGAGATTCTGAAAGTTTCAGGAAAAAAGATTCTCTCACTTTTTGTCCTGATCCATTTATATAAAAACCTGTCTGAATCAGCTGATCAGATTTTGGCCACTTTATGATGTCATAACGATTTTTTGGCTTGTGTAACCACAACATTTTTTGGCTTGTGTAACCCCCCCCCACACCTTATCACCTGAATCTCCTCCTAGAGCACTATATATTCTTTTTAACCAAATATCTCTCAGAGGGGCGTGGGGAGTGGCTCCTTATTTTCATCTAAAGTAACAGACAGAGAATCAGCACTTTTGAAACAGGCCTGAAACAGAGGGGATTATGGGATGCTACAATGCATGATCTGTTTGGTATTTGGAGCAGAACACTTCAGAGACATGTTTTGTATATATCTGAGACCTATATTGATGAAAAACAGTATAATAGGGGACCTTTAAAATTCAACTTCTACATTTTTGAACTACAGTAATGAGCTTTTACTTGTGGAATTGGTGCTGATAGTCCAGTTGATTCTGTGCTCTCCTTGAAGCTCCACAGTAAAGGGCCCAGCATGACCAGGTCCGTCCACATCTATGATATCCAGCAGGGCAGGAAAAGGGTCAATATTGCATAGACTGGCTCTCCTCTGCTTGATTACAGGACGATGGTCATTCACATCTAATAAAGTCACAACCAGAGTACCTGTCCCTGTAGCTGGGACGGTATCTAGGAGAATGAAAGGAGAAGGTTTATTGTTTTGCAAGTTGGAAAGAAGATGATGTGAGTGTTGTCAGGTAAGACCAAACATAGATGTACCATTGTCGTAAGCCAAAACTAGGACTGTGTATTTGCTGTCTGTGACGTAGTGTGATTCTCTGTCCATGTTGCTTTTAACTTTGACAGATCCTGAGTCTTTATCAATACTCAGCCACCTGGCTGTGTCATGGTGTAGTTTATATCTGCAGAAAAGCAAAAGACACAACCTAATTAAATTTAAAAAATGCATTTAACCACACTTAATATACACATTTTGGGGCCAACCAGATGTCGACAATATGTGTGAAGTGTGTTATCATACCTAACACTCTGTTTCCTAGCTGTGTCTTCATCCTTTGCTTTGAGGTCAGCCACAGAACTCCCTGTTTTCTCATCCTCTGAGATGCTTACATAAATCTCTGCCGGCCTGAAAACAGGAGGCTCGTTTTTGTCCACCACTGCAACAGTCACTGTGGCTGTCGAGGTGGACACCCGTCCAGAAAACGGCACCTCATTGGTCACCACCACCAGCAGAGTAAAGACAGGAACGCTCTCAAAATCCAGCTCCTTGGAGAGGATGGAGATAAGGAAAGAAGGATGAAGTAGTCTGCATGTACAAATAAACAACAAGATTCCTGAATAAAAAAAAGACCTTGGCTGTTTTGATGATTCCCTCCATTTTACCGGAGCCTGTGGTGATGTTAAAGTCTCCCCTCTCGTTGCCTTTGATTATTGAGTATATGGTGTTGGCGTTTGGAGATCCTAACTCATCCTTGTCAGTGGCCTTTAGTCTTATAACCTCCACTCCAGCCTCATTCTCAGGGACTGATGTTGATAACTGGGGTTAAAGCATGAAACAGTGTTAAATGCGTTTATAGATTCAACTTATTTCAACATTATTATGAAGTGTTTGGGCTTCTTTGACTCACAGATGTGACGGTGAACTGTGGAGCATTATCGTTGCTGTCAGTGACCTTAATGATGACAGTGCAGGTGGTTCTTAGCCCCTCCCCCTCCATATCAGCCGCTTGAATGAGCAGCTTGTATTCTGGCTGAGTCTGAAACAGGAACGAGAGTTAAGTGAGGAAGGAGAAAGTATTATAAAGAGAAGTGTAGTGATTATATTACCTCTCTGTCCAGTACGCCTGCTTTTACCCTGATCACCCCACTCACTGGGTTTATGGCAAACATGTCCTCTGTGGGCATCTGAGCCGTTATACTGTATCTAACCATAGCATTGTTTGTCTGTGGGTCATCTTTATCCACTGCTACAACCTTTATGACAGACTCACCTGTTGGAGACAACAATACAACACTGTCTATTAGGACTTCAAATAAGCATTTAAGTATTGAAGTAGAGTTAGTTGAATCCTTGTCTCACCAGTTTTCGCGCTTTCACTCACTCTGCCATAGAAAGGGTTTTGAGTAAATGCTGGAGCGTTGTCATTCTGGTCAATGACGTGGATAATGAGCTCCATGGGCTCCTCAGCCTTTACACCCTCATCCAGTGCATGGGCCCACAGCTGTAACACACACCATTTACATTCATAGCAGTCATTGTGCTTAGGGATAAACAAATGGTGTAACTGTAAAAAGTGAGATTATGCCTTCTTTCGTTTGACTCACAGTGTATTTGGCTGTACTCTCCCTGTCCAGGGGCTGGGTCACATACAGCACCCCAGATCGCCGGTCGACAGTAAAGACACCCTCGGGGGGGTGGTCAGCCCCTGGTCCTGTGATTCTGTAGGTGATCGCCACCTTTTCATCATTGTTTGACTTGATCTAAAGCACAATGATATACAAATGTTTCCGTCATGACTGTTTAAAAGTGCATTCAAAGCAATTCAATTACTGAATACTACTTTAGTTACCTTCACCATCAATTTGGGGTATGACCCCCTTTCATTTTCTGGAAAGTGAATAGCTGGAATAACCCACTCTCTCTTCTTACGTTTCAAACAGCCAGACACACGTGCAAACTGAATGGTGGGGAGCTGCTCCAGGACCAGTTCAGAGTTATTCTGTTTGAAGCAGAGTCACCATGTCAAGTCAGATAAAACAAGCTACACATAACAATATGTTCTGTAAGTTTACCTCTAGCTGTGTGCTTCTTGTGATTTCATTATTGGAGGAGTTGATTCTGTTGTTTAAGCAACATGGCGACATTTCTGCTGCAGCCAGAAAGGCAAAACACTGAAGGATACAAAAGAAAATGGCAAATTTAAATAAATCACCACATACTGTAACATTTTATAATATTATAATGCATAAATGATTCATATAAATATTAAATAAAATATCTATTATAGAATATGACTATACTGTATATTTTGCTTTTCAGAAGAGAAAAACACACTTAGATTTGATAATTCAGAGGAAATATCTTTTCAACAATAAATGAATACACATAAATATATGTATCAACAAACAAAAATAAACATTATACATTTAAAATGATCTACAGGTGAGCTAAGCAATAAAGACAGTTTTCTGACTGCAGGATGAATTTACGAGTTATAGTAAGACAGTCACCACACAAACTGTTAAACGGAAGAAAACTGAAAACTTCAATAGTCCAACTTTTAACACTCACCTGGACTTGGCACAGCAAAAAGAGCAGACTTAAATCCCTTTTGTTGGTCATCCTCTCCTTTAGTGTAGAAATCCTCCAGATCTTTCCTCTGTCATTGCGCTGGCTCTCCTGCTTTGTTCCAATGGCAGCCTGCCAGCTCTGTGGCGTTTACTCACCTTCAGAGTTAACAGTCAGTACCATTCATGTATCATCTTCCACTCTCTCTGCTATCAGTATTGTTCTACTAGCTGCTGCTGGCAACAGTAATGCGCTTACCTTGCTCCCGATGGTGCTAACTGAGTGATTGTTTGATTTTATCAGTGAAATGTTGGTGAAAAACAAAGAAGGTAAAGGTGACCTCAGTCAGTCATGCAGGTGTGTGTTTATGCACTCCACTCTCACCTTTTGGCCAGGGAAGTGATGTACCTTTCTCTTGAGAGGAGCGGTGTTGACATAACACAAGATCAGATTGTCTCCTGTGACACTCAGCAATTACATGTTAGCCCACTTTATTTTGAAAACTGAGTTTCCCACAGAGCTTTGGGTGTTAAACTCTCTAAAATATGCAAAATGTTGGGCTTCTGAATTTCATTGTGTTCACTTTGCAATCTAAATGTCTGGGATTAAAAACACACGAAGCAAAGGGTAAAAAGTTTGAGATTGTTTAATATGAAAAATCTGGAGTGTTAACTTAATAACAGCTAATAATCAAACTGAAGACTGTACATTCACACTGAACATTAAAACAATACTTCACGGTTTACATTGGGTACATATACAAGAAAAGAGAGAACAACAAGTTCACAGATGGATTGTCTGAAGCAAACAAAATAGAAACAAAGTCTGACTGGGACCAAAGTGAGTGTCTGCATTATTCTGTATCATTTTGACTACAACTCAGGTTTTTCCTATAAAATGTCCATCATAAATACACTGAGGGATCAAAATATGTTTCTGTCTGTATTCTGACCTTATAAATGCTCCAATTATATTTATCTTAGCTATGTCACAATGTATGCAACAGGTTGTAATATAATCCTTTTTGTCCCAAATATCCAGAAAACCGTTTAGAGGAAATGTTTACTATGAGATGAACAGAGCTGAATGTGATATGCTTTTCCTCTCCGTACAGTACTGTAAAAAACCTTGTGTTAGCTATGCTGAGGTCTGGCCAGGTCAGAGTTCAGATACACGACAGTAGCGGTGATATCGTCCCTGTACATTCTCGCTAGGTCCTCCGGCAGAGACAGCATCAAGGCCAGCCTCTCCTGGCACAGCTCTCCATACTCCCCGGTGCCCAGAGCGTGTCTGATGAGGTGTGTCGCAGCGTTGGTGTCTAAAGCGGGGGAGGCGCGGGCCTGACGGTTCTGCAAGAGTTCATGCATTTCACCCAACTTCATCTGCTTCTCAGATGGAGAAACAGGAGCCTGGAATAAAGAAACAACAGTTAGAAACTAGTGTTGATTTTTCAGCCTTGTTTCCATATATTCTTATCCCTTTGTCAAAAATCCACAATGTCCTTTTAAGATTTTTAATTATATTAACAGGTTTTAGATGATTCAGAGTCTGGGATTTATAGTTTTTTCTTAGTCAAAGAAAACCATGATTATCTTAGCATTACTGTGGTCAATGAAAAGTGTTTACATTTTAGTATTTTTAAGTCATCATATGTATTGTTAGAGCGGAGCACGACTCCTGACTTTTGTGTTTTATTTTTATTTTGTTTTTAAGATATATCTGTTGTAATTTATTGTCGTTTACTGTGTTTGTAGTAATTGTGTTTTTATTACATGTACAGCACTTTGGCTCGACCAAAAATCGCTTTTAAATGTGCTATATAAATAAAACCTGATTTGATTTGATTTGATTTATTGAACATTTCAGTCACTCAATTCATTATTTTTTTTACCAATGAAAATGAAAGAGCTTTTGGTAAAGCTATTTTTATATTTTAAACTACATTTAGTTTAAGTCACAGTCAGTGCATAATGATGTTATATCTTGTCTAGGTCAAAAGGTTGTTGAAATAACTAACCAAGTTAACACTATTAGAAACAGAATAAGTTAAGAGGATCAAAACATATATAAAATAATTGTGAAGTTTAAGGTGTAGGTTGTCTGCTGTGAATCAGGGGAACATAAACACAAGTCACTTTGACTCCACACCTGAAGGTGAATCCCACTGAGATGCTCTCCAACGAGCCGTACTGCCTCCTCGTTCCCCAACTCGTCCCACAGCCCGTCGGTGCCGAGGATCAGGAAGCGGTCCTGAGGTCTCAGCTTGTGATGGGTTATTTCAGGGGCCACATCCAGATAGGGTGGAGTTAGGTAGTTAGGTGGAGTGTACTGGTACAGGTTCAGAGAGTCCAGGTCCACTCCGGACTCTAAGCTGGCTAAAACACTCTGCTGCAGCTCATGGCTCCACTTGAATCTGACGTCACCAAAGGCACGAAGGGGCATCAGAACCTGAGAGCAAAATAACAGCTTAGGACCTGTGGTTTATTTTAAAAACTCACTGCATAATGCCTGTTACATTTTATAAACTCTCACCCCCAGCAGTCTGTCCTCTGTGACCACTGTGTCTCTCTCTGAGGGGGGGTGCAGGGACCTGATCCGCTCCATCTCAGCCTGGTTCTGTGAGTTGTGGTCCCGGGTAAGGGGCAGAGCGCTCCATGATCCGTCCTCCTCCAGCACGCCCAGGACTGCTCTGCTGTCACCGGAGTTTGCCACGTGGATCCAGTCTGTGCCAACATGAGCCACACAGGCGGTGGAACCAGCAAACGCAACCTGGACAGAGGATGGCGCAGGTGTATCAGTAATAATACAAATCATAATAATAAAGCTTTATTTGAATGTATTGTAGGAGCAAGGAAGGTTTTGTGCTGGTACCTGAATGGCTGTGCTTTTCATCAGGTCATTGGAAAGGGGGACTTGAGCCTCCAAGGAAATGTCAGCATCGAGCCGTTTGAAAGAATAGTCTAGCGCTTCCAGAGGACTAGAGAAAGAGGGGAAGAAAATCACTCATCATGAAACTGCTTTAACAAGCACTTGCAATGTAGAAAACGTAAGTGTTTTACTACCAACAAAAACAATTGAAATAATCCCATATTAACTATGAATTATTTGTTATCATGATAACATGAACCAGCAGAGACATTCATACAGTCATTATAGTTTTTAACTTATACACAACTGTAGTCAAATGACAAAGAGGAAAACAACAGGCTAGAAGAGCTGTAGATAAAAAATGTAACTTGCATAAAGTTTGTTAGAGATACACAGCCTTGGATTTACCTCATGCCTTCACCATGTTCCTCACTCTCTATTAATTCTTGCCAGAAGACTCTGAGGTGGTCGATGTAGAGGGAAGCAGATTCCCGATAGTGGAAGTCTGCATGGTGTTTGTACCACTGCAAGATGGGAGGAAGAGGTCTCTCATTCTCCATGCAGTTCTCAAGCTCCTCCAGGCTCTGCTTTGACATCATTGCGACTGCAGTGTAGTACAGCAGACGCTCGCCGACAGCCTGGGCACACGCCCACCCCCCGTGGCCGTCAAACACTCCAAACAGCATGCCCTTTGACTGGAGGAGATACAGAATACTCCATTAAAGTTCACAAGAAGCGAAAGTAGGGCAGTGGATTGGATTGCAGAATGAGGGGAGAACATGCATACCTGTAAGCATGTGGCTGAACTGCGACGGTCCTCATTAGGTGTGTTAGCAGGCAGCTGGTTGCTCTCAAACTTTCTGACAGCACTGAGACCCCTGCCATCAAACTCTGGCACGCTGACAGTCTGAAACACAGATGCACATACACACATGTACATGGTTATATATAACTGCAAATGTATTCAATATGTAGTACTGATATTATAATTTGAATGAAAAAATAAAGCATGTCATACTACGATGACCTCACAACATGCTTGGTTACATATTGCAAGTTCCAGAGTTTATAAAATCCAATACCTGCTCATTGGATCGCAGGATGCTGTTGATTTGGACCTGGTTGAGCTGGAAGTCGAGGTCCTGGCGAGTTGAGAGGTGGCGCCCACTGAGAGACCAACTTCCTGAGTCCTCACCTGAGATGTCTGACCTGACTCTGGAGTTCATCCAGGAGGAGAAGTGACATATATTTGCTGCTCGAGGCTGAGAAGAGAGAAATGCTAGGGAGGTTAGTGTACTAAATAAACAAAACAACAATTTTTTTATGATTTCAAAAATGAAATAATTAGTTAAAAAGTAAATCAGGGTACCCACCTGGAATTGTGCAGTAGAGGAAAGTGTCAATGTGTAGCTTGAAGCTCGTTGTACGATGCTGGCACACACACGGCCAAACATCTCTAATGACACTGCAACTTTGTATTCACCTCGATGTCTATGTGGAGGGGGAAATGAAATTAAAAAGTGACAGCAGAAAGAGTGTTGATAATCATGGAGATAACCTTACACTAGATAGCAAGCTAGATGTTCTGTGTCAGCCCGGCTTAAAGTAACATCATACTCAAGGTGCAATAACGAGTGGTGCAAATACGGTGCAGCATACCTCTCGTTATGACATTTCCTATAGGTAAATATGTGCATGCATGTAGGTGTATTACATTAAGTTATCAACATAGAAACATTAAGTGAGCTAGCTGGCTAGCTTGGCTATCTTTAACATATCAGCGACTAACGTTGTAACAAAGCTTATACTCGAGTTAAACAAACACATATTGATCTGCTGCATGTGGAAAGTACGATGAATAAAAACGAAATTGAATGAATACTTACAAACTTGTAAAATGTACACATGAATCGATGTCGATTGAAAACTCCTTACATGACGGCGATGTCACTCAACGTCTGACGTAGGCATCAGACGCAATGTTGTAGTTCTCACAGGTCGGAGAGGAAAGGAAAGGAGAAAAAGCAATCGAAATAGACAATAGGCTTGTTTGAGACAAGCGAGACCGACGCAGACCTGCGCAATTGCGATCAACAGGCTTGTTTGAGACAAGCGAGACCTGCGCAGACCTGCCCAATTGCGATCAACGTCTTGCTAGTGCGTTGCATGATGGTTAGTCATTTTGTCCGACTTGCTCTGGAGGCTCGCCTACATAAGACGTTGAAATCTCGCGGGACAAAGACGCCCGCAGACTTGAGAGCGAGGCGCGGCGAGGCGGGGCGAGGCGGCGCAGTTTCTCTCCACGGGCTGCGGAAGCGAAATGCTTGATGGGAAACGACTCGCTGGTATCTCGAGCTGAGCGCTCATTGGTGGTGTTTACCCCGTGCTGGTGATGAAACTCTCCAATTGGCTCGGCAAAAGTTTGTTGTTGTTTTGTGTCAGTTTTGTAGTATCAGGCATAATAGGGTAGGAACCTTTATGATGTAACGTGTTGTGCATCGGTGATTAATAAACGAGAGCAAGTCAACCTACACGTTGGTCCAATCCAGAGCCATATAATAGAATTATATCTATATGGCGCTGGTCCAATCCTTTCCTATACAAGAGCCTCTATATAAGTTATAGTGAACACTTATAACAATAGAACAAGTTTTACGTCGCCACTTCCATTCACATTTTTCATCATTGTTCCACAATGTTTATCATCATGAAATTAATATCTATATATTTTATACTATACTTGCACTGCTTACCGTTTTCATACTTTATATATCTTAGCATATTCATACACACTGTCCATACTGCTCACAGGCTGCTGCTGTGTACAGTATATCTAGTGTATTCATACCCCTCACTGTTTTTTCATCATTCAATTCATTCTATATTTTATTCTGTAGATTGTGTACTTTTCACTTTACTGCTTTTTGCACTCCTGGTTAGAAGCTAAACTGCAATTCATTGTCTCAGTACCTGTAATATGTGCAATAACAATAAAGTTTAATCTAATCTTGAGCAGGAACAAATGTATTTACTTAGTACATATCTGACATTAACGATTAAACACATTTGTGCATTCTTTATAAATGCAAACCGAGTCAAGCCGACTCCAGGTGGCGGTATGCACCTTAAAGTTGTTTGCAATCCGCAAAAAAACCGAGAGAAGAAGAAGAAGAGGAAGAAGCCGACTCCGAGCTGTCCGACTTCAGGCGAGCTTTTTGAGACCGCGATTGATTGATTGATTGATTGAAAAGTTTATTAACAGCTTGTATATTGGGTACAGTACAGTACAGCTCAAAACATACAATTGTTAAGGGGATGCAGACCAGAGAAAGACTTTCGTCTTGTTTACATCAGGGTCCCCCATTTCCAATTCATCATATCATTTAAGACATATAAGACATATTTGACATACAGATGGCTTATTTACAATTTACATACAGGTGGTTTTTTTACATACAGATGGCTTATTTACAATTTTCATTTTAGATTTCGTTCTAATACATCCTAACCGGACATTTAAGACATACCAAGTCTACAGATATACAGTTAGTAACAGAGTCTAAAATGCGAGTGAGTGATTCTACAATTTAGGGTATTCCATGTCCATTGATGTCCATTGATGATAATTATAATTATTCTAACTATTTTCTTCAAAAATATCATATTTTGCCTATTATTGGAAAGCATGTTATAATATCACACAAACATTATGTGCATCCTATGCTTTATTTAGCTTGAAATGTGTCATGATGTTCTTAAATTGTCAGTTTTTGCTATGTCCGTTTTTCAGTTGAGGGTGTCTTGGTTTCAAAATAATGAATAAAAACCATTAAAGTAAATTTAAAAAATGATTCATTTATTTCAAAAGTCTAAATACTAAAGAATAATAACATCTTTTTAATTGATTTCCCCCTTTAAATAATTTAAATATCTTAATATATGAATGTCCGCAAAAGTTCTGTCAACTATGTATGCACACTGTGGTGATTGTCCTCTAACTTTTTACAATATGTTATGTATAATAGCACATTGTCAATGAGTATATTAATTGACCATCAACAATGTTACGTACATTGTTATGGTTTACAATTGTTTAAGGATTTTAATTCAATTATATGTTCAAATGTGATGTTAACCTGTTCAAGAAAATGACATGTGGTCATCCAGGCAAGGCCTACCATTGAAATGATGGGTCAAAATAGGGAAATTGTCAACTAGGTTACCTGTCAACTAAGTTACCCAGTACTGTAATAACTGTAGTAACTTAGTTGACAGGTAACCTAGTTGACAATTTGTATGACATGTAGACGTCATTACACATCATTATCAATGGAATTTTGCACTTCTGCCTTGAAATGAACATAGTGCTGATGGTTAATAATGTGTCCAGTCAACTATGTTATTTGCGTCAAATGTTTGACTTTCATTGTCAACTATGTTGCACCTCATTTTTTCAAATTTAAAATATCTAAAATAGTGCTTCTGATATCCTTTATAGTATAATATATATCTACACAGGTTGGAGTTTTACATGACATCTCTTAAAACTATCAAAATGACCTGTATGGTAGTTTTATAATACAAAATATCCCTAAACTTAATGACAGTGCTGAACATATCACATGAAAAAACAAAACTTTAATACAATTATTTTTTAAACTTTAAAAAATCTTTGGATATATGGTAGAATAGACTCAAGAGCCTTTCAAATTTGATTTTACTTGAAGTGCAGGACTTAATCAAATGATTGTAATGACATCAAGTTTGTCCGTAACATAGTTGACAAACTGAGTAGTGAAAACATCCTTTCCCTTAAAATAAAAAAAAAATAATAAAAATGTTTAAGCTTTGCAACTAGTGGATATGTTACACTGAGGAATATACTAACTTGAACCACTGATTGTCCTATTGAGAAAGAACACTTTCTTTGTACTGTTTTGTTGATGTGAAATGCACCCTAAATTATAGAATCAGTCGAGTATATACATAGATGGGGGGGGAAGCTGTCCATTGTACGACAGGTTGAGATTTGTACCATTACCGGGGCCAGTTTTGCAATGCTCTCCCCCTAAGGTGCTCTTTAAGAGAGGTTTTGAAGGTAAGTATAGTTTTACTTTCCTTTACAGTTGTGGGAAGAGCGTTCCACCTTGATGTGGCATAATTGCGAAACGTGTATTCCCCCTTTTTTGTGCCAAATCTGGGTTTTACATGATTTGTGGAGCTCCCTCTGGTGTTATGATCATGGTATTCCTTGACCTTTGGGAAGAATTTTGACATGTACATGGGTACCATAGAGGTGTAGTGGATCTTGTAGACCAGGCCCATTGCAAGTAGCTGTACTCTGTCGTCTACTCCATCCTAGGTTGTCAAAGTGGGCAGAGGTGAGGTGGGTTCTAGATGAAAGGTCAAGCAGTAGTCTGACCAGTTTATTTTGCGATGTTTGAAGTTTTATTTTTAGCGCCTTGGAGGTGCTATGGTACCATGACGTGCAAGCATAGTCATAGTACCCATGAATGAGTGCTCCTGCCAGAGTTTTCAGGGTGATTTTGTTTACCAGAGATGAGATCCGGTATAGGAATCTAGTTCTTTGATTGACTTTTTTTATTACATTGGATGCCATTTTGTCACAGGAGAGGTTTGCCTCAAGAATAGATCCTAGGTATTTAATTTCCTTCTTACTAGTGACAATAATGTCACCCACTGCAACTGAGAAGTCGTCGGATTTGCTGAGATTATGTTTCGAACCGAAGAGAATGGACTCTGTTTTACCCAGGTGTAATGATAATTTATTATCGGCGAGCCAGGTGCAGATTCTGCCGAGCTCGGAGCTGAGGGTTTTTTCAACCTGCAATCTGCTCCTGTCAGAGACCAGCAGGGCTGAGTCGTCCGCGAACAGGAACAATCGGCTACTTTCGAGGCGAGCCGCAGCTCGTCTCAAACAAACCTAATCTTTGGCTCGACTTAACACAGGGTCATTCCATTTGAATGTAAACTAATATAATACAAATAATATAATATAATAATAATATAATAAAGCAACGGAAAATCTCAAAGGCTACGTAACGCATTTTTTTGTACGATTTTTGATGAGAATGACACAACAAGCAAAGAGCCTTTATAACATGTTCTAAACATTTTCTTACACAACTGGGGCCTACCCATGTAAAAGAGCCTTTATAACATGTTCTAAACATTTTCTTACACAACTGAGGCCTACCCATGTATATAAGGCCCCATCTGACCTTTCAAATATACTAGCGTAATTTATTTACCTTACGTGGTTGTTACTATGGTAACGCGATTTGCTAACGTTCATCTCCAACGGTAGCTAACATTGGCAATTAGGCTAACGCTAATATGTTGTCACCTTAATTTATTTAATTGTGTTCAGTGGGTGTCAGGTTTAGCTGACGTTACTTTTGGAGCAAAAGTCTGAACAAAAGCGTGAAGAAAAATGTTACTCTGAAAGAGCGGCTGTCGTCCCACACGCTATACTATTTACTTTATGTTAGCTTGATTAGCTAGCTAGCCGGTATGATATAGCTGTTCCTATTTTTATCGCAAATAACGCTAGATTGGCCTGAGTTTGTTGTGATGATTAACAGGGGATAAACGTGAAATATAAGGTTAGCCATATTGTTACCTTGGTGGTATTTAAGCGTTGTTAATGGCTTCAAAACAACTCAGTCGTTTCCACAGGGAAATGGATAGTAGGCCTACAGTGGTTTGCACCAGCAACCGTAACAGTAAGTCATTAAGTTAATGAGTTTGCGTATACGTTTACATATTCATGTCTGTCTGGTTTACAAAGTCTCGCTGATTTAATCGTTTTGCTTTCAGCCGTAAGGACAGATCTCAGTTTGCTGCTTGAGTGTCTGAAGTTTCAGATGAAAAGTCCCGATTTGCAGAAACAAGCTCTTCTCACCATTCACTCAATCTGTGAAAAAAGAGGTGAACTATCAATGACAAATCCATACCATTTACCTTCCTCTGAACCATGTCCTTTACACACTTACCATCTCCCTCAATCATATTTGTTGTGTCACATATTTTCTTGTCATTTAAATCAGTGACTAATTTACATATTGACCATAACTCTTTGACATGATACATATCCACTGTATGACAAAAAAACATTTTTATTATTTCAGAGGATAA